AAGGTAAATGGCACGAATTTGAAATTTTAAAATATTTGCGTAAGTAGCTATGCGTAAGTGTTGTTTAAAGGAAGATGAGAGTATGGGGTTCGTAACTGTGGGTGGTTGTATTTGTACTCGAGTAATTATAGTTAGTTATTTAGTTAATTGGTTAGTTATTTGTAGCATAAATAAAGTACCCAAAAGACTTTCACATATACTATCTATCTACTAAGCTATACTAAGCTATACTATATCATATATATAAAATATACATACTCGAGTATATAAAACATAAAACATAAAACATACATTCACATGATATAACATCTTCACCATTTGCATTTGTATTCTATAATATATAACTTAAATAAACAAATATACAAATAAATAAGCAAATAAACAAACAATATATATATATATACGCGAATATTATATCACATCCACATCCACATCACATCAAGTTCTTTCTACGAGTACTGGAGTACAAAGATTTTGTATCTATTTATCTACTCTATCTACTCTATCTACTCTATATACAATAGTCCAAGTCCAACTCCAAGTCCAAATCCAGACAAGCATGCATTTTTTGAAGTCCATCTTCTTTCTATCTTCTCTTCTACTTTAACTTTAACTTTAACTTCAACTACACTACTCGAGTATATTATACTATACTATACTATACTATATAATATATAACCATCATATCAATTCCTATTCCTATTCCTATTCCTATCCCTTTCTATTCCTATTGCAAATCCTGTTGCCTTTCCTATTCCTATTCCAATTTTATCCCTATCCCTGCTGCTTTTCCTATTCCAATCCCAGTATATACATCATATCGTATCGTATCATATCGTATTCCCACGCTTCCTTAATTACTCTAATACTCGTACTCGTATTGTAATATAGTAATATACTAACTAGTAATTGTACGGATTAGTAATTCCTGACTCCTGAAACCTGAAACCTGAAACCTGATTCCTAACTCCGAAAAAAAAGGATCCGTTTCCGCTTGTATATACTCGTGTTGAGCGGACAAAGTAGGGATATATATATACTCGAGTGAGTATATGTAACCAAGTTGTAGCTTTGTATCTTTTGATCCTGTCCTGTCCTGATTGTAGTTTCCAGTTGTAATTCCATTCCCATTTGCCATTCCCATTTGCCGTTCCCATTCATAATTTTTCGTTGGTAAAATAATTCTCGTTTGCATCTCTCATAATTCATTCCCATCTTCTATTCCCATTTGTACACTGTATCTCTCATTTGAAATCCCCTGTTGTAATTCCCCAATGGTAGTATGGTAATGGTACCTCCCATTTGTAACCAGTTGTAATCCCCAATTTAAGCCCTGTTAAAATCATATACAAGAAAGTAGTTCATATACACACACACACACACACACACACACTTCCATCCATCAATTATTCCTCTGCATTTCGTAGTTGTTGAGGCTCCGGCCATTGCCATTACTATGCGATGGACCAGCCTGAGAATGAGCATATTGAGCATGAGCATGCGCCGGATCCGCCATGTTTACATAGTGAGGGTGAGCATGGTGAATACTATTGTCATTGCCATTGCCATTGCCAATATGCGACGGACCGGCTTGTGAATGTCCATATTGCGTTTGCGAGAAGGGGTTCAGTTCATATCCGGCGGGCCAATCCATATATGGCTGCTGTGGTTGCATCTGCGCCTGCATAGTTGTGGCCACGGCAAGCTCATCCATAACAGGTACGCCACGGTCCAGGAACGCGCCCGTCATCGGGGCAGAAACCTGTGGAGAATGATTAAAACTGTCGGGCCCAACCCTCCACGGGAGATTGACGTGGTCACCTTGTAGGAAGAAATCAATGACGCCCATACTTCCCTGCTGCGAGTTTTCGAGACTAAAATCAATGTCGGGAATTTCTTGGACGTTTGGTTGCAGATATCTGGTGTCGATTTGTTGAGAATGAGCATTGATTGCGTAGCTATCGACGATTCCTACGATTTCGGCGAGTTGGAAGCCAACCTGGGTGAGAATGACGAAGAGTGGACAGAGGCGAACGTTGTCCATCGCATCTTTGATTTCGAAGACGGCCTTTCTGCGAGCGGTGTCTTCTTCGGTGTCTGGTTCGTCTTTGGCTAGGAAATCCAAGGCAATGACGATTACACTATGGTATATGTAGTATGAATCGACCCAAGTTACACCGTTGAATAGGTTTGACGTGATGAGTTTGTGAGCGAGCATGATAGCTTGCTTGGAATACAGGCCGCCTTTGTAACTCAACTCAAGTTCAAGTTTATCGAGGCTTGGAGAGAGAACATGCTTCTTTACGTTTCGACTTAGTTGTACAGCCACTTTTCGTAATATGAATGGCCGAACAACGAGCGATTGTATAAGATGGAATTGAAGATGAAGTAGATGAACCGCTCGCACATGGGTGGGTGATGATGTTGGGTATTCGAGACGAAGATTTGGTGGTAAGCTACCGTGCCATGAATCCAATTCTGTTAGTAATTGGTTGGCAATGCGGACTCTTAATTGTTCTGCATTTGGAGCTGGTATTGAAGAGGATGGATACATCTTCCTACTAGTATCCGCCATGATTTTCGTTAAACGAACAAACTCAGCGACATAATTCTTAGGCACACATGCACTACCATCGAGTAAATCTTCGTCAGGAAAACAAGCACTGACCTCCCTATCATCGATGGCACAGGGTCTGCCTAGTATCGTGCATGCATTATGTTCGTGTATATAAATCGTCCACCATACGCGACGTCGCACCTCTCTCTCGATTGGATCGAGGTCATTGATGGCTCCTTCATGATGCATCCCAAGATTCATGGCCATTCTTGAAGCTGCCCCTAACATCATAAAAGCCGTGTTGCGTTCGGACAAGTTATGTTGATACAATTGTAAGAGGAGTAGAGCTTGAACGTTGACCAAGGTACTCGAACACTGAAGCTGATACACATGTTCTTCCACCCATACGACATAGCGTCGAATCAATTCCAGGTATGTATCATCATGTGGCTCAAGAGCTTGAGCTCCAAGTACCAGCGCCATGATAACCGAACATAGCCATCCGGGTTCGAAATCTTGTACTTGGATATCAAGTTGGCTCCACATCAAGTCATAGCGGTGTTCAAAAGAGCGACGGTGAAATAGCATGTAGTTTGGATGAACCCGGTCAAAGAATGATCCAGTTAAAACATCTGCAACTTCGCGAGCAGGTACAAGTAAAGATAGAGGCGCCTCGCCCGAGGGATCTTTACCCGTGAGGACCGAAATCACGTGAGATCTATTAGGTACACGAGCATCTCGCTCGAGATCTGCTGGTCCAGGCGCAGTATGTTTTTCTTCGGCGACTTTTGGTTCTAGAGCTTTACTCCATCTTGATTCCGCGAAGTCTGCCATCAATTCCAAACTCGGATGGTCCGGTTGGACAGCCCTCAAATTGCCAACATATTCCTTGACCATCGAACGACTGGTGAGCACAAATCCGAAGCTTGAAGAAGGTCCAATGTAATGTGATGTTCTCCCTGCAGGTGTTGGAACAAGTCTTTCTTGGGGCACACTTGATAAGGCCACCGATTTCTCTGCTGCTACTATTGGCTCATGTCTCATGGTTTGCTGACTACCTTCGGAATGAGCTGGCGACTCCGCTAATTCCTTTGGAATCTGTGAAAAGAGTTCCTCATTGGGGACCTTGATATCGCCCGCGAAATCAGGTAGAGTCACTTCATAGATTGCAGCAATTTCGTATAGAACGTCGATATCACTTGTATCTTTATCAGGAAAGAGACCTTCGACCAAATCCTCGAGAACGCGGAACCGTTTACTGAGCGTTTCGTGACTCCCATAAATTCGCTTCTTCCGAGGTGCATTGAATTCGCATTTAACCTTGGCATCAAGACAAATCTGACAACTTCCTTCGACCGTTGGTATACAACGCACTCTACGCTTCTTGCAGCGGTCACAGGAGACGAGAATTCTTTTCCGCTTCTCTGGCGCAATGCGGGCCTTACGAGGCGGCTTTCTCTGTGGTTTTTTCTGCGGCTTTTCCGTATTTGTGGGATCCATCTTCTAGGCGGGGGAAGAATAAAGATCTGACTCCGCAAGTTCTAGAGTGTTGAAGATAGAGAGAGATAAAGAGCCGGGATATTTGAGGTGATTATCAATGATCGGTGTGGTGTTACTCTAGATACCGGTATATAGGTAGGAATTAAACAATAAAAATAAATGGGTGACGATGTGAAGGTATTGAAACTGTAGTGTACAGAATACTAGTCGAGTAATTGAGATTCGAGTATATTAATATTGATATTATTATTATTATTGTTATTGTTATTGTTATATTATTGTTATTGTTGTTATTGTTGTTGTTGTTGAAAAGAAGAGAAGAGGAAAAGAAGAAGTCAATGCCAAATAATAATAATGCTGACTTAGCTTCTAGACTTTTTATATAACTACCAACTACCAACTACCAAACAACCTACCTAGTAGATCTACAAATCGGGGGCCCCGGATATAATCATCCATAACGCATCTAAATCTAAGTACGGTAACCTCATATCACCACAAAGTCCGCAACTCGGAGGACCAAAGAACAAAATGGGCTTACCAGTATTCTTATCATTTTAGCATGGGTAGGAGATGCCCCAAAGATGAATACATACCACTGAGATTTCCAGGTTATACTTCATAGAGACTCTGATGGATGGCAAACTATTAGTGGCAATATATTTTATCCGTTCACCGCCTTATAATTACTTGCACTTCAATCACAACAACGCCGCTATTAATTATATTTATACTAGATTTACGCTTATTATTAGATAATTCCACTTCTTATTTACTCCACATACCACAAAGAGTCGCCTCAGCTACTCTACTAAGAGGCGAACAAATCATATTTACGTGATATATTTACCTACGTAGGCTTGGCATCAAAACCTAAAATAAAAAACAAAAAGTATAAAGCAGCAATGACGCCTTTCCCATTTTGTTCAGCAAACCTGGTTCTTGGATATCATTCTCTTCTCCTACTATAACCCCCTAGCTAGTTGAGCAACCTTAAAATTGAAATTGAATGAATGGTAAGACCTTACTCAATACTCAATTCTACTTTTGGCCACCCCCTTCACCTGTAGTCACATACCGGTACCCGTACCAGTACTGGTGTTCATCCCCTTAACCCTCCTCTTCCTCTCGTCAACTTTGTTTCCTGGCCAGTTTACTTTCTTCCCTTGTCTTCAACTCTTGGTTCAACCCTATACCGGTATCGAATATCTCATCGTGCCAGAACAATAACTCTCTCTTACTTACATTCAAAACGTACACTAACCCCGATTGATTGTACAATCAATACCTTGTCTTTGCCCTGCCAATACCGTTGTTCACCCGCATACTTAGCCCTGTGCCTCGTCGGCCTCACTCTGAGATCGGCTTGTCCAATAAGAGGTATGTGTGCCGCCTTTGCTTTTACAGTACAGTTCGTTAATCATCATTTTGCCATGTAGAAGGTGATTGATGTACAAGCCATCACATTGTACCCTCATATGCTTCATTTACTGCATTACTTGATTCTATAGAGTACCGGTATAAGGTGTGGAACCTCAGAAAATTTCTCTATATATATCTATACACGCAAGGAAGCTAATGCGTTCTTTTCATAGTAAGATATCTTTAATGAGCATGTAGTAGTCCATCGCTCACCCTCGAACGTCTCATATTCAATCTCAGCCTTTTGGTCTCACACAATCTTTTCAAAGTCCAAAAAAAAAGGTCAGCAGTTTCTGTCTTCACATCACCAAATTTCCAACATGTCAACAAGCCAATCAAACATTGACCAAGTTGATATTCAACAAAAAATATCCTTCTGTGTGGAGGAGTCGAATTCGTCGTCTCCAACCCCAGAAATCAAGCTTGACCAACATGGATTACCGTTGGTACCCCAACCCAGTCGATTTAAAGACGATCCATTGGTATGTTATGCTTTCCATCAGTATCCGATGTCGCCGCCATATCTTAAAATTCCAAATACACCCCTTCATCTCATCCAAATTTCATATATTCGATAGAGTGTAACACTGATGATCTACAGAACTGGCCAATATGGCTCAAATGGGTAGTCCTCATTCAAGTTGGCTACATGGCCTTCCTGGGCCCCTATAACGCGGCACTCATCAATCCAAGTCTGATTCTCCTGAGTGGTGCGTTTGGAGTCAGTCCGAAAGTAGCTGCATACAGTACAACCACGGCAATTATTATGGGTGGTATTTCACCATTCATTTACGCGCCTCTCGCCAATATCTATGGTCGTAGACCTATCACCCTATTCGCAATCGTCCTAACTATCATTGGAGGAGTGACATCAGCTTGCTCAACTACATTCCCACAACTCGTTGGTACACGTGCTATCTGTGGCTTTGGTTTTGGGGGAATGATGTCGGTGGGTACTGCTTGTGTGAATGATATGTTTTTTCTCCATCAGAGAGGTGAAGCTACTGGTGTATACTCCGTATTTGTTACCAACGGGGCTCATGTCGCTGCAATTAGTAAGTCAACCCACAGTAATTTATATACCCTATCCGAAGAAGTTACTGACCTGATTATTTCAGTTGGTGGTTACCTCGGTGCATCCCTAGGCTGGAAATGGGATTACTGGATCGGAGCCATCAGCACCTCTCTTTCCCTCCTCATCGCGATTTTCCTCTTCCCCGAAACCCTCTTCTCCCGCGACCCTTCCTACCTCTCCACACGCACTAAAACCCGCACGTACTATGAACTTCTTTTTGATTTCCGCGGCAACATTCTCCCCAACCGCTCACTCCACTTCTCCCACTTCCTCGAATCCTTTTACATGCTCCGCTACCCATCCATCTTCTTCCCCTTCTGGTACTATACCTGGGCATGGACCTTTATCAATGTCCTTCCCGCCATCTCTATCGCCACAATTTATACCCACTTCTACAACCTCAAATCAGGTCCCATCGGTGCCTCTCTGGGTGTTTCTCTCATGATTGGTAGCTTGCTAGGAGAATTCAGTGCGGGTAAAGCAAGCGATTATGTCATGTATCGTATGGCAAGAAGAAATGGGAATGTAAGGCAACCAGAATATAGACTTTATCTTTGTTGTTTGTCGGCGGTGTTCATGCCGTTGGGATTGATTGTTTTTGGAGCTACTGTGGGGAAAACTCATTATTTTGTTCCGCTTATTGGGTTGTCTATTGGTATGTTGACTCTTTTGATGTCTAATTTGACTTCTATTCCTATTTCTAATTTCACCATTCTCCCTCGGAAACTCTCTCCTCTTCCACCTCTTCTCCCATCTTCCACCTCAATCTTCTACCTCTCAACCACTCTCTTCCCAACCCATATACCTCCAATCTCCAATCTCCCAATTCTACCCTCCCTCCCCCAGTCAACCTCCACTAAATACTAACACCCCACACCCAGGCGTCTTCGGCCTCCAAATCGCCTCCACAACCCTCTACGCCTACGTCTCCGACTGTTACAAACCGCAAACGGCCGAAACTGGCGTTCTCTTCAATCTTTCGCGGGGCCTCTCATTTGTAGTCGGATATTTTGCGTTGCCGTTTGCGGAAGAAGTGGGATTTACGTGGGCGTGGTTTACTTTTGCGGTGGTGCTGTTTGTGTTTTTTGGGCCGGTGGGGGCGTTGATTTGGTGGGGGAAGGGGTGGAGGGAAAAGGGGGGGAAGCCGGGGTTTCATGCTTGGTTGTAGGGGGTGATTTGAGAAGGGGGTTGGGAGAGGGGTTGGGTTGAGGTTGAGATTGAGGCTGGGGTAGGATGTGATTTGATATGATAAGATATGGTACAGCATAGAAAAAGGAGGATCGGCGATGTTTTGTCATACTAATTTCTGTTATATAATCTAACATACCCGAGTAAAACTCGATATTGCAAAACTCCAAGATTCTAAAAATGACCAATGAGATCTGTATGATATTGTAAAATACAAAATATCATAAGTATGAAAAGAACGAATGATTCGCAACTTATATAACATTATGTTGTTTGATGCAATGATATAAAGATACAATGATACCATGATCCAACAATTGAAAACCTCCTAAAAGAGATACACATACCTACTCGAGTATATACTCATCTTCTATTCTCATTCTTATTCACCAGAACTTTTACTAAGTAGAGAGTAGAGATCTATACTCTAATCTTTGATATGATATGATATGATATGGTATGATGTACTCGAGTATAAGGATATTATGTCGTGTTATGTCTGTCGTGTCATGTCATAGGATATATTACTGTATACATAGATAGGTACTTACTACACACTACTCACTACTCACTACTCACTACTCACTACTCACTACTCACTATTCGTATACAACTCATAACATAGTTACATAGTTACATAGCTCAAACTTGAGTATCAAAGATCACTGTATCGGTAGGTATCTGTATTGGTATCGGTATTGGTATTAGTTAGCTAATATATAGTAGGTTTGGGGTTTAAGAATGATATATATAGTGGGTGTATGTATGTGTGTGTGCATGTTATGATACAATTCAATTCAAGTCAAGTCAAGTCAAGTCAAGTCAAGTCAACTACAAATAATCAAAACACAATGAGAAAAAGAAGCAGGAGGAGGAGGAGAAGGATAAGTGAAATTAAGACAAAATGAATTGAATTGAATTGAAATCAGTTGAACCAGTGCATTGGTTCAACTGGTCGGTTCATTGTAGTTTGTGATATTCAAACTGCCAGTTTCCCAACTGCTTCAAATTACTGACTACACTGATGTATGTATCTAACTCGGTATCTTTATTTTTGTTTCTTAGTCCACTACAACCTATTGATGATTCGGACAGAGGGTTTGCATTTGGATTAATATTGATATAGTCCATCCATCCGTACGAGTACAAGTACTAACACTTGAGCATTGAGAAAACTGGAAATTATTTATATATATTATCATAGTCGCGCGAAGATATCTCCAATAATCCATCCATTACTGTACCCACACACGCGACCTCGGGATAACCTCGCTCCCCCCACCCAACCTCACCGTCGCCAACCAAAAGTAAGCCCCACAATATTTTGTTTCTGAAGCTCACCACTCCCCTCCTCTCCCCCAAAAAAGCAATAAAGAAGAGAAAACAAAATAGCAAAACTTAAGAGCCTCTCAGCTCTTATGTTCCAATCATCTTCGTACTATAAAATGACTGTACCAAGCTGTCCCCTAGTTGGCCTGATTGAGAGGGCCCCGATTACTATGGCGTGGGTGGAGGCGTATACCACTGTACCACGGAGATATGTTTGGTGAGGGTAGTGTGGAATTTGGGGAATATATATTTAGTAGGTATGATATTTTTGCGCGGGTCGGTGGTTGCTGGTTGGCTGGTTACTCGAGATGGTGTGGTGATCTTTATCTTTGGTTCTCATGTTTGAAATGTCTGGGTGTGGTCGAGGTTTGTGGATGAGGTTTGTGTTGATCTATATACTCGAGTATAGCTAGTGAGACTTTACTTTATCGACACTCTCTTGGGGAAATCTAGAAGCTAGTTTGCCGTTTCTTTTGTGCTCGAAGATGAAGGTTCGCTTAGATTCATAGGCCAAGACATATATTTATAGACAATTAATGGAGTCTTCAATTGTATACGAACTATTATTTTGAGACCCATGCAGCAAGTTCTCCTGGATCCAGGACTTTCGACTTTCTTTATATATAACATTATTCGTAGAGTGACGAAAGTATCGAGTGATTCTTCTGCGAACGCCTTTAGTGATTTCATATTCACATTCATATGTATTATTTACTTTTTCTCTCTCTTTACTAGTAAGATAACCTAGATACTCCATAATATCTACCAAATCCATCGGGATTTTGAAGTTCCAATCCAGAAGAAAATTCACACTTTCGTGGTACATGTAGATGAATTTTATGGACATTCCGGTATCTAGAGACTAGAGGAATTTGTAGCTTGGTATTGGTTCTCTAATAAACAGATATGTTATAAATGTTGTAATATTTATTCTCTGCTATGTTTTATTTTTCACGACTCGGAGTAGAGGATCGGAGGAGTATGTACCAATGGTGGTTTGGCGATTTCAAAAAACAAAAAAAGATCGGTTGATGAAAGGTACTGATTTGATGCCGATCAGGACACGAATATAAAGGGTTTGGGATGATTATGTGCCTGTATTTCGAGACTGAGACTGAGACTGAGGGAAATATATGCTTGTATGATATGGTAGAGAGATAGAAACAGTGGTCTAATGTAAGATCAATGTTCCTTAAGGTTACGAACTGAAAAGCAACCACAACAACCACAACCACAACCACAACAGTCAAAGAATCACAATCCAACAAATATACTCAAGTATAATCACCAATGTATACGACCGCCAACAAAAGTGTTTGTGGTCTGTAAAAAGGCCCTGAGAACATGTCTAAAGCCCAATAGTCTAGAAATAAGTCGATGAACTTGTTTTTGGGTTTGCCACCGGACGAAAAATAACAAATACTGATCTAGTTGTTGGAGAAATCTTTTTCTTTTCTTGTCAGCTTGTTTCGTTTGGTGGTGAATAATGGCCGTCTGTATACGTGACCCCATCATTACTTGTCGGTGCCTTGATTTGAGTTCGCAATATTATACAAGGTTATACAAGGTGATCTGGAAACTCCTTTGTTGATATCTCAAGCTCGGAGTCAAGTTGATGATGATATGTATACAGTACTTGAGTATATACACATATCATTTTGACACGGGTAAGCCTGGTGAGGTAAGGTCTTGAAAGATCCTTCTAGTTGGATTAACCTATAGCCAAGGTGCCGCTTGATTGGATGTAATCTTACCTGATTCGAGGCCACTGACAGAGAATACTTTTTTATATTCTGATTTTGCAGTGTTTTCGGTATCGATGGTACTACAGATTAAGTTGTCTTCTTAATTGGAAATCGGGGCTGCGAGAATATTTTGTCACGTAGGAACTGTTGTAAGTAGCGCTAATCCTGGATGGCAAATAAGCGTGGCAGATGAGAATGCTTTTAGTATGTAAATAATATCATCTTCTTGAAGGTTGGTAAGTGGTAGATGTACTTGTATGGAAAAGAATCTTGTGTGGAATGTCTAGTCATCGCCATAATGGAAAAAACATATATTTTGATTTGAGCTGAGGACGATTTTCGATGGTAAATGATAGTTGAAAGGGTCAGGTAAATGGCTTTATATATAGTTCTGTTTCTGCGCTTTGAAATAATGTGCCTTGAGGAAGTATTGAATGGACATCTTGAGGTGATGTTGATAATGCATAATGGAAGTGCTGAAGTATATATCCTTACCTGAACTTATTTACTGACACTGATAGAGTACACCAATTACAGTCAGTATACTACTTCCTTATGAATCCTATAGATCGAAAAAGAAGTAATTGCCATCGAGATAGCTTCGTACTGATTCATCCAATCACTATAAATGACATATACCAACTCGACAAAGATACCATCAAATAAGTCCTATTCTCCAAACGCCTCTAACTAAAAGACATACACAAAAGGTTGCAAAATACTGTACAAACCCAGGGAAAACCGGTCCAGTATCCAATCAATCCCAAACCCCTCTCTCCTCTCTCCTCTCTCCTCTCTCCTCTCTCCTCTCTCCTCTAACTTCGCTCTCAAAACCCAAACAAACAAAAAACTACCCATACCTATAACCAGCATGATGCGGCGAAGGATAACTATACAAACTTGGAGGTCTACCCGCATCACTACTAACATCACTTGCATACATCCGCTCACGAGAACGATGACCACGACCACGATGCCGACTACGATGACCACCCTGTTTATCATAAATCCTCCTCACCGACGGTGCATACATAGAAGTCATAGATGAGGAGCCAGAATCCGAGTCGAAGCTAGAAGGATAATCACTGCCCTCACTGGCACGCACATATTCTCGATGACGATGATGGACGCGCGCCTTTTTCTCAGGAGGTGGATCATCATCTTCATCATTTTTATCTTGATAATTTCCCGCGAAATCACTATCGGTAACGATACTTTCTTCGTCGTCTCTCCTTGCTGGCGCATATGGATTTTCGGGATTCTTGTCTTTGATTTGATGTTTTTTATCGTCTCTCTCTAGTTTATATCGATTTCGTCTCAATAGTCTCTCTAGTTTCTTATCTGATTCTTCTGCTGCCTTTTTAGCTTTTTCTTCGGCTTCTTTCGCCTTGGTCGATGCGTCGTTGTGGAGAGTCATGGGTTCGGGTTGAATGATCATTGCATCGTGATCGAAAGGGCCTCTTTGCCCATTATTGTCATCTTCGGGTACGAAAGCATCGATCCTTCTCCCAATTCTTTTCAAGAACTCTTTACCAGTATGTAATCCTCGAACCACTTTCCACGATTGTGCAGGTCCCAATTTCCGGTATGGAAAGTCCGCGGGATCGGGGAATGTCTTGCGGAGGAACAGGTATTCCTCGAGCAGCGCGGAACTTTTGGACCACTCGATGATCGGATCGGGTTTTCTGTCTCTACCCATGTTCGTGCAGGACTTGGTGATGACCCTACTTATCCAGTATAGATGTCTTGTTCTACATTTTACAGACTTTTCTCTTTCCACTTCTGCGACGATTTCCTTGAATCTTCGGTAATGGGCCCCTTTCCGAATACGTCCAATTTGCACTGCTCGACCGGGAAGGTTTCGATGGTGACGCCGGATGATTTCTTCGGGCTCGATTGAGCGAGAGAAACAGTGAAAGTGGTTGAAATGAGTCGTGACGGCGCGTCGAAATCCACTTTTCGGTGTGATATCTAGCGATAAAGATTGGAATATGACATTTGAAAGGATCTCGCAGGCATTTCCCCATAAAACATAATGAGTTCGAGGCATGGAGAAGCGGTGGATCTTTGGCTCTGTAGCAGGGGATGCGACATATAATTGAGCACCGGTGATAGGTAATCGGTATTTCTCAAGTGAGATGATTTGAAAATTATGAGCCTGAAACTTGAAAGACCACAAGAGGTAGAACAACAAGATCATGTTATTTGACACCAGAGAAGAAGGCATTTTGATGGCTTTGGGTGGCGGTCTTCTTATTGTCTTCGACCTCTTGAGTATCCTCACATACACTTTCTTTTCCAAAGGAAATATCAATATATGACGTTGTGATATCTTGCAGGCCTGTCTACTGGCCTCACGCGTTGCCTTGGGATAGTTGGAGAAATCTTTTCTGGGTCGACCTTAAACAACACCGCAGAGTATTGGCCTTTGTGGGAGAAAAATTCTTGACACAAGATCTAACCGATAACCAACAAAATGGTAACAAAATGGTAATACTCCACGATCAAAATAAGAAGATTCATTTAAGCCGTTCTCAGGGGCTCTGAGTGTTGGGAAGGTGTATAATCCGAGACCACTGGGATTCAAAGCTAAATCATCAGATTCCGTAAGCAAACCCAAGTATGCAAATCTTTCAACGAAACCTTAGAGACAAGGTGAGTAGTTGGACTGATTTCGCAAGAGCATAAATTAAAATTATAAAAATGCAGAAACCGAATCTATGTGCTATACGGATATTGCGGTAGCAAATTTTCCGCTGTAACTGAGTTACCAGTTCCATCCAACGCCGTCGAGAATCCCATAATATTTTCCTTTGCTTATAACCCGCGAGACCCAAACTCCTTGTACCAAGCAAGCAATCAAACAAAACTTCCATATCCTCTAGTCACATCGCCATTCCCGGAGCCTGCATTCGACTCGCGCCCAACCAGTCAAAGCTACGGCTATCATATATTGGCGAGCAGCATTGATCTACTCGCCTCGAGGTATTTTGAAACTGTGTAGACATTGATAGGGAATTAGGTCTTTGCAAGACTCCCCTAGCAAAAAGCATCTCGACAACTTCATTTGTCCATTCTTGATAATGACGGAGAGAATTGGCGGGATCGATTTTCGGTGGTCCTGCTGTGATGGAGTCACATACAGCGCAAACTTGCGAGTATTGGGATGTGGATACCGTGCCAATGAATTTACTGGAATTGCTTGGTCGTTTGATTTCTTTGTGGGCATGAACCATGCCGTTCAGCATGTCACCGGTCAGTTGATATAGATGACCACTGTCGCTTCCTCGTTCATCAGTCTGAACGAATATGCCTCGTGAGATGCCGAGAAAGTCGACCATGTAGACGTTGAAGGACATTTTCGACTCAAATATGTGTGTGTAGACGGTATTACAGAGAAGAGAGTAAGGAGTTGAGGATATGATTTCAGTGAGCGGTGAGGTATTGAAAATCCGAGGTTGATGAGATGGAATATGAATTGGCACAGATGAGAAAGTAACTGAATATGTAACTGACGGGAAGTATGAGTCTTTCATATATAATTGCAAAGTAGATTGAGCTGTTTCTTCATGGGTAGTAGTGGGATTAGTACTCCCAAATCTAACAGAGTCAGTTGAGGCTAACTAGAGGTTCCAATCCTGGCGCGAACTGTCTAGGGTTCGGCAAGGACGACCCAAATCAAATATCAAGGAGTTACTACCTCGAACTCACTTACCTAAAATCCGACATGGAGTTAGGCGATCAAATCAAGATGCCGTTCGAATACGCGCCGACATCTTGTAAGCAATGATCTCGACCCATAAATCACCTGATTTAAAACCAATCGAGGTGATTTGACAAGGCCACAAATTTACTTCAGCGAGTCGAAGAAAAAAATAGGATTCCTTATCGAAATGAAGATTGAAATAAGCCTCGCCAGATAGACCAACTAGTCTTCTGTGTACCGGCAGGAAATATGCCTGAGCATATTTGTCAAGAGTAGAAAGGCCCATACGTTAATTCCGAGATAGAAGCAGAATACAAGATCTAAATCTAAACTGCTACAGTATTGCGTATGTGAGCTATCAAATTTGTGCAACCGTGAAGGTTAGGGGTATTTCGAAATGTCCAACACTTGAGATAACTTCAGAGAAATTGGTATAAACACCTTTCAGGTGATGCATGAGTTACAATCTGACCAACTCAACATAGTGTTCGTGAAGGCGATAGGTAAGGAGGTCGGAATCTACAGTTTGCAACACTGGATGCGTGTTCTTGTTTCTGCCAATGCCAGAGGAAGTTGTATGCTGACCTTCTCTTCCATAAATCCATTGCGAAGGATGAGACAGTGCGTTTTGGCTTGACTTACAGATGGCTTTTCGCGGTCGGCGAAAGGCAATCAAATAGTTGCGAGTGGTTCGAAATAAGAAGGATTTTCAAGGTAATGATCGAAGACAAGGGTTAGACACCCTTCCTGCATACTTTGCGGGGTGCAGAAGCGACGCGAGATTCAACAGGTTGAAGGAATGGTGTAAATTTCGATGTACTACAACGAGAGAGGCTATGAATTGTTTCGAAAACGTGGAGCAAGATACGAAGGGCTTTGAGGGAGGCCATTCCAATGAGCCCTAAACCAGGGTATGATGTGAGAATGGGCCTCAGAATCCAGATGGTAATGAAATGCTCAAAATAGTACCCGAGACACAAACCCGGCCCTAAAGTCCCGATGAGAGACCTACATCAGATCGAACTATTTTAAGAGGTTGGAAGTGGGAGGCTTCTGTTTGGCGATGGTGTTGGTAGTACAGTACTGCAGTCTGGAGACTACGGAGCGCATCAGAAACAACCACAAAGCAACTGCGCTTGATGCTTGGGGAGGGTTACTTGCAGGAGCCAAGATGTTGGTTTATTTGGTAGTGAGTATAATAAGATAAGATGTTATATGAGTTTACATTACTGTAAAAACTCGAGTACGTGTGTCAAGTCGAACTTGGTAGAACAAGCGTGCTTCATGTCCAAAAGTGGGTATTCCTTGACGCCAGGATGCTGCATATCAACTTTACGTAGACTCGTGGAGAAATCCAGGGCAAGTAAATTCGGCATTAAGAGGATTTTCTTTTATGCTTTATAGCTCGCAATTGCCATCTTTGATTTCCTTGGAACAGTCTCTCGAGAATCGTCGACCATTCGGCAGCTGCAGTCTCTTGCGATGCAGAAGAGCTTTTGCAAACAGAAGGTTAAGAACATGATGAATGAGTCCAGTCACGTGTATCAGTTGAGTTCTCCATCGTTTTCTCTCGGGTTTGATCGACCTCACTTTATTGAGGTGAGCATTTTAACGTAATAGAGATCCGACCCCAGAATGCTGGGCATGGTTTGGCAATACTCGCTCTCCCGCTGTAAGTTGAGTTGGTCCTGTAAACGTGATATGCATTAAAATTCGCTTATGGCTTGAATATCAAACGTAGAAGCACTCATTACCAAACTTGGAGACTTTCTCCGATACTTCATGTGCTACACACACCGCTTCAATATACAAATTTCGATAGAAGAATGATTTGCACGAACTAGAAGTTCTCAATTTTCTTCTCCTCTCTTCTTTGATCCAGGCTCAAATGTTCCAACTTCCGACCCGGACCCGCTGTCATCTCCGTAGGTAGGGAGACAGACATGCCGTTTAAGATGAAGATTGGCGGTGAACCACAAAACTCAGGTTTAGGTTTAGGTTCAGGTTCTTCGTTTTTTGAAAGGACAAACTGGAACGAGTCAATAAGGTCAATAGGTTTGCTTCACTGGTAAGAAAAAGGTTGAGTTTCAGCGCCAAATTTCAAATCCACATACATGATTGGCCATGGAATGAGACGAACAAGCGCGTGTGACAATATGCAACGGAAATACATACCAAGACGGAGCGCCAAAGTCTTAAATAGGAATTTTAGAGTTTCACCTAGCATTTACTGCCACGAGATTATTGGTGAGTCAAAAGATTCCAAAATGCCTCACATGCAAAGATGTATAGAAGAAAGATTGATATATGTCGAACGCCGATGTGTTATTCAGATGCCAGAAGCATATATATACCGGTACTGCATTTGCTTTCACAGCAGCAGTGATTGTACGTACCTTATCTTTTCAACATTGGATCGATCTTTGGCATTTTTATTACACTACCAATCTATTACTTCTTATATAAGAATCATTAAGTCGTGAATTCTTGCCAAGACATAAGGTTATCTCACAAACGCACTGCTTTGCAGATACCGGTAGTGCACCTCTTTTTGTGCAGTAGCGGTCTATCGGATACAGCGAATCCAATCTTCGAATTTGTTGCGAGTATATCCACTATTGCAAGGGAGAGCGATTGAAAACATTCAGTTCGGACGGAGTACTGTATCTCTCTCGACCTTTTTCGATAGTAGAGAGGGAGCGTACAGTGTACACTGTCATACAGAATCTATACACTGTCATACAAAATCTAAACACAAGATTTCCGCAGAATCGCCTCCTCCTTTTATTCGTTCAATTCCGCTATAGAATATACTCTTATTAGATCTTCATCTGTTCCCACCCGTCGCTTCAATCCAAAAAAGCTTGAACCTAGCACATATCTCAAGTTCAGATACACTAAGATAGGGAGGAGAGTGGGGTTTGTGGTCAACTGATGCGGAGCAGAAGCTTTAACTAAGGCTAGGAGGGAATATGGGCTTTATTGATTGCCAATGAACATCCAATCTCAATTACACCGAACATTATAACTTTGTTCTGGATCAATCTTCCACCCATTCCACTAAATAATTTTGGTACCGGCTCAACAAAACTTCACAACGGAAGAAGATCTCACGACCCATTTTAGCTCTTTGACCCCTGGCTACCAGTCAACTGAGTCGTCTTGGCACATATGCTAGTAGAGAAGCCAATGAAGCCATTGGAGGGAATTTGGAATTGACTTACATCATTCTTGAATAATCTTTGGAGAACTATTGGGGTATCGCCCGTGGTTCTGCCATATGCATACATACATACATACATACATCTTTCTGAGGTACCCACCACATAAAATTGAGAGTTTGTTTCCCAAACCCACAGGAACTCCGCTCGCTGGGAATCTACAAAACATTTAAGGGTCCTAGAAGAATCACGAAACCATAATCGAGAGAACGTACTTGATAATAGGAGGTTATGAAAGTACAACTTTACGTCAGGATCGAACACTACAAGACGGCCATACACCCCGAGCATATCCAGGACACAAGGACGTCACGGTTCACACTTGCACCAAATCGTTATTATAATTCCGATCTCAACCTCGCTTCAGTCTCAGACATGTCTTCCAGAACCCACCGGAAGCTTTCCCCTCTGACTACCAATTGGAATAATAGGAGTCAATCAAGTATAAACTCTGATGCTGCAGTCTTCTATTCAGCGCAAGCGCACCCGACACCAATCGAGCTCGAACAACAAATTCCTCAATCCTACTCCTCTCGTGCTCATCCAGGCACCACATCTTCTCCCCGAGAATTTCAGCCTACCAAGATGGACCGCCAAGATTCAGGTTTTGCAGAGAATATTGCCTACATGCCTAGCCACATGCGAAAATCATCATCACGGCCCAGTTCGAAATCATCCTCTCAAAACCCTCGACCCTCGTTAAATCCCTCCCGGAAATCATGTTCGCGCTCAAAGGACTCCTCTGGCCCTTCTTCCTCGGCCTCGAGCGCAACCAGCCGTTCAACCCCCAAACGCTCTCCGAAATCTCCCCGCGCATCCACTTCCCACTCTCGGCCCAATCTCTCGTCTCGGCACCACCACAGTCAAACATTATCATCGTCACCACAATATCAATTTTTCCACTTTCCATCACTATCCGATGACATTTCCCAAGAAACATCAGACACCGCCGTAACCCCAGCTCCACCCCCGCCAGCCACAATTCATTATTGGACGTCCGACCAAACCCGAAAATTAGAATACGCAGCCATTGATGCAGCAAGCAAAGGGATTCGAGGGTTTGTAGTAAAATGCATACCAGATTGTTTCTTGCCAGTGGAGAAGAGAGGGACCAGATTTTGTGAAGAGGATATGAGAGAGTGTGATGATGATGATGATGCAGGGAGCGTGAGGAGATATCGATTGGTACTGGAAGACGAGGTAGAAAATGAGATGAAGGGGGAAAAGATCGAGGAAAGGCCTCAGTCCGTGAAAGAACATCGCAGGCGGTGGAGCTCTTTTATTAAACGTTGAGAAGGCCCATAAGAGATTATATTTACAGGTGGCTTTGGCATTTGCAAAGCGGCGGGAACACGCAGGTGCAGTGTTGGAGTGTGGGAGTTTGATGTTTTTCATTTGTTATTGATACCCCCTTATATAAGTAAGGATCAGATTTACGGTTTTGGTGGCAAAAGCTTTGGTGTTGCATGTTGTGTGGGATGGAGTCGATTGAAAATTATAGTCATAGTCGATGATAGAGACATATACAGAAGATGAGCGATATTAAGGGCTGCTTGCTGCAGCATGAAAGTGGTATGTGGTTTGGGTTACAGCGACACATTTATATATCAAATGGAATTTAGCGATGGATCCGGTGTTTACATGATACCGGCCCGGCAGCCTGCAGGATGGCTGTCGTTGGTGTCGAGGAGAACAAATGGGATTGGGATGGGATGATAATGGTTGGGAATATAGTAATAATGAGAAAGGGGAGAAGATATCAGATTGTAATTACGGCCTGATGAGAAGAGCAGAGAGAATAATAATATCAAAACATTCAAAACATTCGAACATTCAAGAATTCCCCAACTTGGCCTCCATTAGTTAATCACTTCATTGAGGACAACGATATGACGCTGAAAATATATCTATTCCTAGTTTTAAACAAAACTATTCCCCATACATGCTTTCTTCACTTTCGGAAGGTATTGAGTGACGCTGATCTGTTGTACAAATTTACCATAGCCCATCCTGAACTCCGTGCTTGAAATCGACCCATGTCTACGATTTATAGATCCTTTCCTTCTCCCAATAGTCTCGCAATTAAGACGTAAGTAAAAATCACTCCCCCAGCAACCCAGTATTTGTTCCTACTCAGCCAACTTCGTCCCTCTCTACCACCTTCTACCACAGCTCCCACGACAGCTTGGCTACCTCCTGGCCTCCTCATTGCAATTCCGCTGCAGTCCCTTCCATTCCCATCCTCATCCTTCCTCTCCTCATTTCCAGTCGCGATATCCACACTCCTCTCCTTCATCCACTTCCAATTCTCCTTGTCCACTTCCTCCCACTCGCTCCGGAACTTTGAACCTCCATCCCCATTTTTAATGTTGCCTTTCTGCGTTCCCTCTTTCTTGATACTGCCTCCTCCAGTACTATTCCACCATCTCGTTCTGCTCGCGGCCCATTTTCTTTCCGCCTCTGACGCACCCACGGACCCCGTAGTCATTTCTTCACTCGTCATGAAACTCAAAAGACCAATCAATATCGTGCTGACTTCCCACGCAGGATTGAAACTTTTAGGATGGAAATCGCTGATTGAGAGACAGAGACGAGTGGAGGGTTGGAACCGGCCGGATGGCGTATGCATTTTGATGGAGGGAGGCGCAAAGGGATAATCGGGAGGGAATAGAAGTGTGCCCCAGTATTGTCCGCCATGATACGGAGTATCGGGAGGTCCGGTCAGGATGTAATGCCATTCGAGGATATTGGATTCGGAGGGGTGTGCTTCGATGTAGGGAGGGGGGTTCTCGGAGATGGTTTTGTATTCGCGGGTTAACTTTGTTGAAATGTGTTAGTTATTGAATGCGTACAAATAAAGTGCCATGTGAGAGTCAATATACGTACCCGTTTGTTGGCAGCTCGACTCGCCATTGTCAAGTCGTACTTGATTGAGACTTTAAGGATACGCTGGCGTCTGATTGTCGATAACAACCAAAAATGTTTGAGGGTTGGGGGTATTTGAGTATTTATAAGAAATAACACCCTGTGGTTAGGATAGAAAATCTAGTTATAGGAGTCTTCGGAGTCTTCGAGAGCGTAAAGATGGGATGGCCGAGTTGTTGGTTGTTTGTGATGGCAATATTCACATGGAATGCTTTGAGGTTTTGATTCATGATGCATGAGGATCTCTTACATTAGTCTCCTGATTAGTCATCAATACGTATCTCCTGTAGTAGGACGAGAACCTCGCACGAATCATAAATATTTTGGGTAAATTTAGAAAAGATGACTTCGCCAAATGGCTCAAAGGGGACTGTGAGTTGCGTTTCTATTCTATGAAACATATTAGTACAGTTGAGTGCTAATGTATCCGGCGGTTGCAGCTCGTGGAGAGTCTCCTAAAAACCGATCCCAAATCTCAGGAAGAGCTCGAGAAAGCCATAGCAGAGAAGCATATGGGATATGCTCTAGAGGCTGCACAGAGGAACGGGGAGCTGGTACGTATACGTAGTAGTTCTAGGGAATCATGATTTCATGGGCTCATGGAATAGATTGGCAACAACTCCACAAAACCAGTCACAATCTCCTCGATTAGACTCCTTGGTCCTACACACACAAGAAGATCGTTCCTGGACGGCATATTCAAGCCTTTACTTAGTGCAAGCAGAGATGAGCCATACACATTGTCAGAAGCATTGCAGGAACTTAGCACAGCTACAAATAAACTCCGTCGACATGGTACGATTCCCCTCACTGGGATCTGATAAACATTGTACTTATTTGTCTAGGTATTTTCCACGATGATATCTCCATGTTCATTGATAAACCCGACCCTGCCGACCCCTCATCTACTCCCTCCGATATCGATATATTTATTCGTGCGCGCGAGCGGGGTGTTCTTACTTTGAAAACTGGCACTGATCTTGGGAATGCCGAAGGCTCGGCATATGGAAATGCACAATGGCGCAACATATTTGGGGGTGCCGAAACCTTGAATGCCAATGCTTCTACAGGTACACGAACTCGTTCTGCGTACCAAGCTATATTTGAGACGCCAATCTTGAGTGACCCCGACAAGAGGGTTGCTGTGGATGTTTTGTCAAGTTCGACTAGTAAGCCCTGGGCAAGTCACGAAGAAGTCCTCAAAGGCGGGGGTATAAAATATAGCTGGGCATCAGGTGGCGGCAGCTCACATCAAGTTGGATACAACGGGGTATGGAGACAGGTGACAGGTCTGGCTGGGAATGCATCACCTACGGCTCGCAACGATGCAGGAGATACAGTTAAGAGCAGTATTACACATACATGGTTCAAAGACGAACGAAATCACCCTATACTGCCGAATCAAGGATACCTCCTCAAGACGATCTCTGAAATTGCCGGTTGGGGACCTTTAAAAGGAGACGTGGGATTCTGGAGATCGGAAATAGAATCTAGTGGTGCAGTCAAAGTTCCTGGCATCCCAGGCGCAAGCTTAACGGCAGGTATCAGAGCAGGAATGCTGTATCCATTAGGAGTCGGATTTGGCACTGCAGCCAAGCCTTCACGTATAAATGATAGATTTCAACTCGGAGGACCAACGGACGTTCGTGGATTCAAGATTGGTGGTCTTGGACCTCGAGACAGACAAGATGCGGTTGGAGGCGACATCTACGCAGCTTCATCTATCAATCTTCTGCTTCCGTTCCCTCGCGTAGATATTTCCACTCCACTACGCCTCCAGCTATTCGCCAATGCCGGCCGACTCCTTGCACTCAAGAATACAGAAAGCAATACTAGTAAAAAGGTATATGGCACAGTGGCGGAACTTGGTAAAGAGATTCCAAGCCTGGCGGTCGGGATAGGGATGGTATATGCACACCCTGTGGCAAGATTTGAATTAAATTTCGGTCTACCCATCGTTGTTAGAAAAGGGGAAGAAACCAGAAAGGGCCTGCAGTTCGGAGTAGGCATCAACTTTCTATGATTTATGAAGCTTGGCGGAGTAGGAGTAGACGGGGCATATACCACAAGAGGGCGAAAATGGAGCTCAGGTTGTATAAATGTACTATATGTTGCATACGAATAGCTTTAGCCAGCTAACGGGATAGAAAAATAGGAAGAAAATCACGACCTTAGATCTGATTACTTTGCATCTATCTCGTGGAACTTTGAACGTACTGCTTCCCAATTAAGGTGTTCGAGGGCTGCGTCGCTTCAATTTACCCCTGCCGGTTGTGAATCGACAATGTTACCCTGACTACGTAATTCGGACTCTAAAAATACAGCGAGTGACCTTTCAATCGTTAGTTTTTCAACCATTTATTTTGTTTAAAATAGACTTTCAGATTTCAAACCTGTAGCTCATCTTTGGATAATATCAGCCAGAATCTAGCTTTGCCAATGAAGCTGCAAAATTGGAGAAGGAGCATCCGTAGAGAGAGAAGGCTGCTCTTTAATTCAACATCAATTTAGGGAGATGCAAATCTATGGGTTGGACTGAAAGTATTCGGTTTATTAGACTAATGCAATCCTCAGATATTGAATTTTATAGAAAGGGAACAAGAGACATTTCGTCAATAGAGCAGGAGACACACTGGCATGCAAAACTTCTTCAGATTTGTTTGTGTCGATTCCGGTCGTCGGTCAATCAGCTACCCCCGACAATTGCAAGCACCCTCTCTACTTTACCCTCCGCTCACATGATGAAAGATGATTCACTGCGATGCTCTCTCACGTTTAGATCACCGGCGCGCAAACTCGCCTCGGCAAACAATCCATCCTCCTACGTTCCTTCAATCGATCAGATCTTTTTTCGAACCTCCACTCCCGTAAGCCATCCTCTAGACACGCGATGAAGGTCCTCTTTCGAGGGCCGCCTCAGGTAGAAGCTCAATGTCCTGGCCTATCTTGATGTGAGATACTTGTTGGAATAAGGGGCGGTAGGTGGCTGGCTTACTGGGGCTAAGGACCATAGCTATGGCTGTGCCCATCAGAGAAATTGCGAGGAGGAGGATTCGTAGACGCATGGTGACGAAGGATATATGACTCGACTTTCGATGCTCGATACAATTCTCGGGAACGCTCTTGGATACTTTTCACTGACAAGTACTTTTTACTGGCAACAAGAAACCTTTGCCGAGAGATGGAATCTGAGAAGGATTTTCTACGAAACTTACTTGAATATATACTTAAGCATGGCAAATACGTTCAAAGGACGAAGCTTTGTTTGTGTATTGGATTTGTACGCATGATGATCATTTGACAGTAAAATCGTGTATCGATGCTCTTATATGGTAGGGCTACGCAAGGACATACAAATGTAATGTACATCTCATTGCTCCTCCTTATTCGCCAATAAACGGCATCTCAACCACACTGTGGCACGAATTATTCACGCGCACCTATATTTGCATTGAACGTGGATTGTTGAGTCCCCAATCGATAGGTCGAAGCACTTGTGCAGTTGTACATGAGTATAGATGTTATATGGTGAAGGATGGCACTAGATACAGTGAAAGTGCCTCTTGTATACTGTGAGTATGTATACGGAAATACTTCGTATGACCAACACAGTTCCACCAAATTCAGCCTTAAGCAGCTCTTATCATCTGCTCTACCCCCACTTTGTTTCTGAGCTGAATAATCGACTCTCTTTTTCAACATTTCGATATACTTTTTGAACGCTCTCCATGCTTTTTAATACGTTTGCTAATACTGGCTGGCTTCTTTCTAAGGAGAAGGGCTATGGCAATGACAATGGAATTTGTCCTCATTGCGGAACTCTGCCTCCTCAGCCAACATCTTCAAGAAGACAGCGATCATGGGCTATCCTAATCATGATATATGGCTTGGTCACGGCATTTACGCTGATTGGCATGGCTTCATTGCTATCTTCAAATCAAAGTAACTTCCTCAAATTGCCAGCAATGAAGTCAAGTCATCGACCATCATTGTGGAGTACGTAGCCATATCTTCTCCAAAAGCGCATTTTATTCTAATAAGACTTCAGGTCCATTTAGAGATGGACTTCAGTATGAAATTGAAACAGCTCCATCAGATCTCTGGGCCAATAAAATATACATGGGAGAGCCATGCAATGAATCAGAACGCGCATGGAATAGGCTTATACATCGTTAGTAGTCTCGAGTCTCACCCAACGTACTTTCCAGGGCTAAATTCCTCTAGCAAATAGAGGGCATGGAATTAGGCTCTACCGTGAGGAAGCTGCGCGTTTGGATATCAACAAGAGTATACTCTTACCGGACAACAATTTCGCCGTCATTCTCACGGTTCACCACAATCTTCACTGTCTGGTATGAACTCTTTTCTCACTATTGTCGAAGAACCATAGGCTTATATTTGATTGCACTCCCTAGAGACGACTCCGACAATCCTTTTTCCCAGATCATTATTACGCCAACTGGACCGACGAAGACCGAGCAGACGATCGACATCACGCATGTATGTTGAACATCGATTCTTCTCTTACATGTCGTAGCCAAAGATTAACAAGCTTTAGTACATTGTCTCGAATCCCTTCGCTCGTCCATGATCTGTCAACCAGATCTAGCACCTCTCCCATACTACTGGTCGGGCAATATAAGACATGATATGAACGCAAGTCCACAATCCAAGCGCGAATGTGTTAATTGGGATGTCTTTTCGGAATATCTTAAGGGGAGAAGCTATCAGAGATCCGAGATGATTCATGATTGACTTTGGAGAGCATGTTGACTCCGTGTGGGCCCTGTGAGTTTATTGATTAATGTTTATAGAGCTAATAATATGAACTTCAAATATTGGATCTTTTGTACTGGAATAACAATTTAAATTCTTCTGTCCAGACCTGAAAAGCTGATGGATAGTATCAGTATTGTCAACCATCCGTACCTTGAATATCAAAATGGAAGCCCTTAAGAAAACAAATTGATTGACGAGTCTTGGCTAAGCCACCCGCACATCTGTCAAACACAAAGGAAGCTTGACTTCTTCGGAACAAATTTCACGCACAAGTTGGTGATACTAGCCAGGGTTGGATACGCATTGTGTCACCTCGAACGTTATCGCGAGGAAAACAACTCCCTACTGTTCCACAAGATGTAGTTTGTACTCGTCGGATATCACCCAAGATAAGGGGCCTCGGATCCACGGCTTTGTTTAAGCTTTAGGTCGGGGGTAATCTTATATTCGTTGTGCTACCACTTAATAACACTACCGCTCTTACCCGTTCTGACTACCGAACACAATCACTCCTGCAGCAATAGTATAATAGCTTGTATCACTAATCCAAAGTTCCTTCCAAGCTTTGTACTTTATCAAGTACCTTCGACACCTATCATCTTCGAGATCTTGAGTCAAGTAATACTACATGGTAAAGTAGTATCACCAAGCATACATGCGACGACTACTCAAATATTTACGAGAATACCACGTAAAGAGGTCCGTCTTACCTGAGATCAAACATTACTCAAATTCAGATACTCGTTACATTGACATAGGTACTTCAACTGGTTTTCCCCAGCAACTACCTCTGTAACTTTGATTTTGACCCGGGTTCGAATCCGAAGAACTGTGGCTTGCTTTGGAATCTTCCCCATATCCTAATTTATAGATTGTCGTAATGACATCGGAACCTCAGCTCACATCAGGTATCACGAATCCGGAAGCAGCGTTCCTCCAATCTTCAGACAATGACGTTTTTCAGTCTTCGGACAAGGAGAAGCAGACTTCAGAGCCACTCTTGACTGAGGGTGATCTTGACAGTCATGATTTGACTTCCTCGAATTGGTTGAGTGACCCTCAAAACCCAATAAATTGGTCTTCTATGCGCAAATGGACAACGGTATACCTTCTCGTCATCACAAACTTCATAGCGTAAGCTCCACCACGACACTCCGCTCTCCCACACAAAAATGAGTCTGGTAGCTAACTAAATCGTAGAGCAACATGTACCTCTGCATTCGAGCCCGCCCTTCCTTCCATAATGGCCGATTTCCACTCCACCAACGACTCCATCGCCTCTCTCACAATCTCTATCTACACCATCGGCTACTGTCTAGGACCTCTTGTCGTCGCTCCCATGAGTGAGTTGTACGGACACGTGACTGTAATATATCCCGGTTATATCGGTTTTATGCTAGCTCTAGCTGTATGCGGTTCGAGCAGGAGTCTTCTTTTATTCATCGTGTTTCGTGCTATAATGGGTTTTGCGGCTATCACATTCGTGCTTATGGGTCCGGCTATAGTGGCTGATCTCATTCCGAGAGAGAGGAGAGGATTCGCATTGAGTATTATGTCTGCGGGTCCCGTTGTTGTATGTATTGTATACTTATTTGTATGAGACTTGGGTTCTCGCTAACTTCTTATAGGGCCCAACTATTGGTCAGTTCTCATTTTGTGCTCGTGTTTATGATAATAGACTCATCAATCTTAGGTCCTGTAATCGGGGGTTATATTGTGGAAAATATTAGTTGGAGATGGACTTTCTACTCCACGTTGATTGCTGTAAGTTGCTTCGGAACACAACGTTACCTGACATCTAATCAACCAACAGTTTGGTGTCCTGTTTTTGCTGTCTCTCGTTATCCTCAAAGAGACCTATGGTCCAGTGGTTTTGAGGCGAAAGCAAGAAAATGACTTACCCACCAGGCAAAAAACCCAAGAGATGCACTCAAAGCAGCTTGGATCCGACCCTTCAAAATGCTATTCCTCTCCCCCATAGTCCCCTTCGTGGGCTTCTATAGTGCCCTCAGCAATGCTTACGGAATGATATGTTTCGCAACCCTCGGCACCGTTTTCCAAAACAACTATTCCTTCACTCCCGGCCAGAGCGGCCTCGCCTACTTCGGCCTCATGTTCGGATTTCTTTTCTGCCAACTAACGCTAGCCCGATTTTCCGACCGCTACATGCTCCATCTGGAAACCAAACACCACGACAAAAAGCCCGAATACCGCCTCCCACCCATGTTCATCGGCGCGTTCCTCCTCCCCATCGGCTTCTTCTGGTACGGATGGTCCCTAGAATTCCATACCCACTGGATCGTTCCCATCCTCGGTAGTTCGGTCATTGCCATTGGTATTTTGTTTAGCTATCTGCCCGTGCAGATGTATCTGGTTGATACCTATACCATCTACGCTGCGAGCGCTACAGGAGCATGCACTATTATCCGTTCGATTTGTTCGGCCTTGCTCCCACTGAGCGCTAACCCTCTGTATGATCACTTGGGGTATGGATGGGGTAATAGCGTGTTGGCATTTATCGCCATGGGGTTTGTGCCAATAGCAGTACTGGTGTTGAGATATGGGGAAAGTATTAGAACGAATCCACGCTTTCAACCGAAGCTGTGAGGTGCAAATAAGAGGATGATCTTGGTATACTTATATAGGTGGTTGCGAGATGTTCAGAAGAGAGCTTTATGCAAGTACATATTTGGAGTTTGAGTTTGTCAATGAGTAGCACAAGGAGCTATGCGGAATTAATAGATCATAATTGGGTGGAATACATACAAATTTACAGCAGGACATAATAAGCACATGGGGAAATTTTGATAATGTTACAAGAGCAGTGGAAGAATGTCTTGGTGGCACATATGCACATATAAAAGCCACGGGTATGGGGAAGCTCTAGTACAATACAAGGCTCAATTAAAGATGTAATAAGAGGAAGTTCAAAAATTCTGATAAATTCTACCCATGTGCTATGCAAATTTGAAATAAATCGTGTGAAGATAAATTAAGGATAGATTCTCGCCGAGAAAGCGCTATGTTACCAGAAATCCACCCGAGGATCGAAAACCACCGTGCTAACCAGAAAGCTTACAGTCCATACTTCTTCTTATATTCATCTTTCATGCCCTTCAAATCCGATGCAAGACACGGCTCCACCAAGTCAGCCCACCATCCTTTGCGGTGTGAGCTTAAGCCCACTTCATGAAGCAAAGCATCCGTATACCAAACAAGCTCGAAGAAGAAACAATCTCCTTTTTGGCCGCGAGTGGGATATCTTCGTTGCGAGAAGGCATGCATGTACGCAACTTCTTTTTGCATCTGTTCCAATGGAGGTAGATTGATGTTGCCGTCGAAGTATGCCGTTGTCCAGATAGCTTGTGTTTCCGCGGCGCGAAAAGAATTGGAAATGTCTATGGCTCCTAGAAATGCAATTGAGGGGTCTTCAAGTGGTGCGATGCCTTTGTATAGTTTTTGTGTTGTTGTCGTAGAGGGACTGGGTTCTCGGTGAGGAGGGGGATGTTTGAGTAATGGAAAGTTGGCGATTACTTGACGGTCTGCATCTTCATGAAGTTGCTTCCATAAATCCGTTTCTTTTTGATTTTGCACTACGGGAAAGTGCGGAAGGCCTAAAGATTGACCGAGTGCTGGGGAAAACATCCTATGTTTAGTATCCCAGCCTGTGCCCAGTAGAAACTCATCCGCGAAGAGCTCAGTGTCATCGTCCAAGGTTATGATATTGTCTCTGTAAGAAATAACGTCGTTGCGATAAATGCGAACATTCTTGGCTATTGTATCCCAGAAATCATCGTGCTGAACAAGTCCCACTGGTCCGGTACACCAGAATGCACTGATGGCATTATCGTATCAGTACTGTTTCCATACATCATTCAAAGAGACTCACGAAGTAGTAAAATCAAGGAGTCGGAACGTTGGTAATGCCCCTGGTCTAGTTTCGTACCCTGCCATATTTCGACAATATTGATTAACAGTGTCTATTCTCTTAACCATGTAGTTTATTCCAATACGAGTTCTATAACAAATGGCACGAATTAAAGAAAACCACCAAGAATTTTGCATGAATGGAGATGGACTGAAAAATGCTTTCATTCTGGTTGCTGAACTTTCAACCGAATTCTTGTATCGACCATGCCCAGGAGCAGGAAAGAGTAGAGCTGGACCTTCGCCACTTTTTCGGATAATCCAACTGACTTTTTGACCCTTTTTGACTGACTCGTAGACCATATCCGCAGCAGACTTGCCGCCACCAAGTATTATGACGTGTCTTATGCTGCCGGTCCATGGTATTCGTGCCTGCGACAACGCTCCAAAATATTTATGATGACGAATAGGGCCAATATCAAGTAGAGGATCATAAGCGAAGGAAGGCATCTTAGGGAAAGAAGTACGACCAGTAGCAACAACAAGCTTAGGGCATCTCCAAGTGAGCAGCGAGCTTTTTAGGAGAGGTTTTTGATATGTTATTGTGACCTGCCATATGTCATCTGCTTTATCGATCCCGTCAACACTGTGGTTGAAATATATCCTTGAGAATAGAGTTTCCCCATTATAACTATGGTTATGCGCATATTCCCCGAGATACTTGGTAACGTATTTGGCCTTGAAGGTGTCATAATATAAGGGCGCATCTTCAGGAACCGAGAGAGGGACATCGGAGAATCCAGACATTCGACGGCCACTTTGACACCAGAATTCATCGTATGAACGTTCTTGATATCGTACAAAGGTTAGTATACTGAGACAGATATACGACAAGGATAGTAGCTAAACAGGATATAACACTTACTTGAGCTCCAGACACCACCAAGGCAACAGTCCTGTTCGAGAATAAGCAGATTCGCCTCTGGATGAATATCGAGGTAGAATCTAGCGAAAGCCAGACCACTTAGGCCTATGAGATATATTATGGTAAGATACAAAGGTCAATTGCTGAGAACTTTGGATATATTGTGTACATTGTTAAAGGATCCCCAGAATGGAGAGAAGAAAGCTATTCGTACCGGAGCCAATGACAATAATATCGACATCAGACATAGCGCCAACTCTGTCTGACGAGATGAGCTGTGGTATTCGATATTCAATCTTGTGTTGTGTTTTGGGTTGGTTGGGTGTACTGGTACACTTTTGAGGAGAGAAAATAACCAAATATTGGCTTAAAGTACAAATTGATCTCGAATGGCGAATGGGTGATATGAGTAGATGTAACTCTTTCGCCCGTGTCTATTTGCTATCAAACCTTGCGAGGTACTCCCGGGTAGTTACACAAACACTAACACAGCAGGAACGAAGGACAAGTACGTAATGGTTGGTAGTAGCGTGATCATGATCTAGTCTTATCTTTTCCTTTCCAACTTTGATGCTTCTTCAGATGATACTCTCAAGATGCTACTATTGTATCTCATATCTCAAGAAAGCATTTAGCAAAGATTTATGAGCGGTCGGCTATCCATATCGGTGAAGGGACTCGAGATGCCTAGAAACTCGCCAGATCCTTAACACCAATCAAGTATATCTATTAGCTGCCCTCGGATTTCTCTGATAGACCTTCTATACCCTTTTCTCCTTTGGTTCCTAAAGGAAAAACGAGCAATGAAATGAAGTTTTCAAAGACATTCGAAGTGACACAAGGGTGGACAAAGCACGTGATGTCACATAAACTCGCTAAAAGGGGCACGGTGCATCCAGATGTCCGAGCCTGTTTGCTCTAAGATTTCTGCTTCTGTTCAAGGTTGCAACCAGAAAAACTGCTGGATTTAATTTACTACAAGAGATTGAAGGATGTCCTCTCGCAAAGCCAACTTTACGAAGCATGGAGCGAAGCAAAGTATACAAATAAAGTATACAGGGACTTTGAGGATATCGTAACTAGTGTTACTGCCACGTCACTCTCTTGATCTGACTTCAAGAGCAGGAAAAGGCGGGGAAAGAGGATTACTTCGAGTATATCTTTAAGCAGAGGATTTCCCTCAAAGCTGTGCCAAAGTGGCAGCTTATTCACGCAGATGAGACGGAAATAAAGGCCATGTCAACCATTCTATCGCTGATAGAAATATGCCCATGGAACTTGGCCACGAGCGTTTGCACTGTCTAGTTTCTTGATTTCTGGTAGGTCAACCAAGACCAGCTTTCAGCACAGGCACGACCTTCCAAAATCGCTTCCTTCTCTGGCATCTCCGTCGTCATTGAAATCTTTGTCCCAATACATTTTTTGCATTGTATCATATGACAGGCTGATTCATGAAGTAAAATTACAAGAAATGAACGCAAAAGTCATGCATTACTTGCTATACTTATTGGATTGCGCGTGGACTAGGAGGAATTTCTTTAAATCCCCATTGGATTTGGTTTGCAGCATGTACAAAAATCCTATCCTTGAGTCAGCATATTTATAAGTCATCTCGCGTTGGTGAAGACTTACCCCAGATCGTCAGCCCACGACCAGACTAGACCAGGATTCTTTTGGAATAACCTCCCATTAAAGATAGCATCAAGGCCTTCCTCGAGGAGATCATTGGCTTGCACGCCATTTGTGATGGTGCCAACAGCACCCACAAAGGCCTTGTCCTTGACGACATTCTTAATGTGTTTGGAAAAGCCAGCTTGATACGCGGGGCCGCCTTCAATAATTTGCCGGGGATCGGAACCACCGGAAGAAACATCAATAAAATCAACCCCAAACTCTGCAGCTTTTATTGATAACTGCGAAGTTTCTTCGAGGGTCCAGCCGTCAATGTCAGTCTCTTCTAGCCAGTCTGTTGCACTGACTCTTAGGAACAAAGGCATTGTCTTTGGAATCGTAAGGCGAGTATCTTGGATGACCTCGAGCAGCAGGCGAATGCGGTTCTCAAAGCTGCCACCGTACTGGTCAGTCCTCTTGTTGCTGACGGGGCTTAGAAACTGGTGAAATAGAAAACCATGAGCCGCATGAATCTCAATGACATCGAACCCAGCTCGCAAAGAACGCTCGACAGCGCTTATCCAGGACTTTCTGAAGTTAGCAATTTCAGAAAGTGTCATTTCTCTTGGCACGAATGAGCCCTGATCGTAGGGCACTGCACTTGGACCGATAATATCATCAGGCCAACCACCTGCCTCTTTGGTTGCATTATGAGATCCCAGCCATGGTGCAACCGTGGAACCTTTACGGCCTGAATGAAAGAGCTGAATGCCAATTAGTTGGCTCTGTCACAGAATTGGGGAATTAGTAATAATATAATAAGAATGGGCTCTGGAGTAGAATTAGGGATGAAAACTGCATCAGGGGGGAATGAGATATAAATATGAGAACATCCAAACAGAGTTGGACGTGGGGAAACATTGCATACTTGAGAATGTGTAAAATTCACAATCGCTTTCATAGATTCAAGCTGCTCTTCGTTCCATAGACCCAAGCTATGGGGATCGAGACGGCCGTTTTCTGAAACAGCTGTCGCTTCTATTATGGTAAGGCCAGGACCACGGGTTACCCAACCACCGTATTGAGATAGGTGCCACGGCGTCGCTTTCCCATCTTCAGCCGAGTATTGACTTAGTGGTGCAACCTTCGTCGGGGGGGGGGGGGGGAATATCAGTGTTTGTTCTCTCTCCCTTATAGAACTAGACAAGCTGTGAATAGGCGTACCCATATTCTATTTTGAAAGGTCACGCCTCTAATTGTCAATGGTTGGAAAAGCTTTGGGATAATCTTGTCCTTCGATTGAGGCTTCACTGCTGTTCCTGATGGAGGATACTGAGTCAGGGTGAAGTACGGCTATCATTCAGTCAGAAATAGAGCTATCGAGGCCAGTTTAATGAGGATAAGGGAACGTCTGCTTACAACGTTGTCAGCTCCGCCCTTGGCCACTTTAACATCAGGGGATGACATTGTGGGTCAGGTAACGTGAGGAATCTTTTTGATCGGGCAGATACTCAACTTTGAGTGTTTGTTTCTAGTCGCACGAGAAAAATAAGTGGAAGAATGGTAGAATTAAGAGTCACGTCAATGTTTGGCTGAAAATTGATGAGAGAAGAGGTGTGTTTATACCTACCTAGGTAAGCATCAAACATTGATTTGAAATCTGGGAGTGGAGTTGAATTTCAGCATTGCTTGATAATCAATCTATTCCGTACCCACCAAACATGAACTCGGGGGAAAATTGATCTTAGTCAGAAGAGTTTCAGGGGACCCTATTACGTGCTAGAAGTCTAGACAGGGATAGACTTCTGAACATGTTCCATTGGCTAAACATACGCTAATCCTCAAGTCTATGAAAACCCTCCTTCACCTGGTACACTGTAAGTTCCTTAAGAAACCTTTGTCATTAGATTGGGTGTCTTGACTTTTCCATCCACCAATTTCTTCCTGAGAAACTTTCTCTGCATTGGCCACCATACTTCTCTCATCCAACGCCAGTTCCTCCATATTTTCATTCACAGTCCCAGTTCCAGTCTCATTACCCCATTTGCATTTGCATGTGCAGTCTCACTTCTCTTATCACCCGCCAAGCGGAACACAGTGCGTTCCCATAACTCATGTCTCTTCTTACTCTCCGCCTTTCTCACACCAGCCAGTTCAAACACCCTGACACGAGCCATTTCTTCCAGCCCAACTCCCAGCCTTCTATATTCTTTAGGCAGTCTCCCTTCTTTCCGTCAAAGTTCGGAGTTTGAGCCCTGTTGTCCTAGATGATTTCTTGCACTTCAAAAGTCATGCCAAGGAATCTCGGAAAGAGAGGTTTATCTTGAGAGAACAAATTGTCATCCATTGCCTCTTTCAGCATCAACCTCAATTCCTCCTGTGCCTCGAATACCGAGTGATGCTCAACGCATTCTTCTCTGTGTTATCAAGACGTTCACATCTCCCTGCAGTCGTCTAGCAGAGCCCCCCGGGCTGGGCCGCTGTGACAGCCGAAGACTGGCACCATCTGTTATATTTCGCCCGGGTTCTCGACATGTTTCCAGTTGTATTGTCCTGTCTTTGTGAAGGAGTATCGTATTGATTTCGCAGTCAATAGCCAAGGGTACCGCCCGATGAGTATTTCAAGTATCAAGAGCGGGGACCTTTTCAAGCGCTGCGTCCATGTATCCTGGGGAAATCATGTCGACGCTTACGTTGTATGTGGGAGGGCGCGGGACCCCTGCCATGCAAACGCGGTGAAAACATAGAGGGGTCTTGACTGCTTGGAGCCACTGGCGAACTTTGTTCAAGCAAGGAGCTGCCTGCAGTATTTGTCAGTTTTTGTCCCTCTTTATCTTTCAGTGCAACCCAAGTGCGCGTTTGATGGACTTGCATTTCCTTGAATCAACTCATTTTGGAGTTGGGTCGCTAGTACACCCAGAGCTACTGTTGAGCTTCCACGAGACGTCGTTTTCTTGAGGAGTGGTGGGACCTGCCCTCCACTCATACAATTCTGAAAATCAATTTTGAATCGAAAAGACAGATCGACCGGAGTATGCGCTTCAGCGCCTCAACGCTGATTTGGCCTTTGGTGCTCTGGTAGCTTTTGGTGTGGCTGCTTCCTTAATTGTCTCTTTGACTTTTGCGACGGTCTTTGCTTTGCGACACCCAACTTCATTTTGCGTGAAGCTTTGCAAGGTCAAAACTTGCAATTGTGAGGAGGCATTCGTAATCTCAATGATCTTGTTGGCTATATAACTCAGTTACTGTCGATTGACAGGGAAATTGGTAGATCAACTCGAAAGAAAGGTTTGCTCACCACGCATTTTCAAATCAATAACTAGATCTTGATAGACAAAAAAGATAGTTAGACTCATTCTTAATCTAATCGTCGCTCAAAAACCGACTGAAGGAAACCTCAGAATGGTTTAGACCTTTGGAATGCCAGCAAATCTTCATTTATGATAAAAATCAAGTCGTGTCTTGATGAGGCTGGTGTAAGATAATTGTCAGGTTTTGCCATTGCCGCATTGCGATACTGCGTTGAAAAAGTTCGCGGCTTTCGCTTGCAAGGATCACAAGGGTCTAGACCAGTAATGGCATGCTGGGTAATTCTGCATTTTCAATCACCATTCTAAAGCTCTTTCAAACGGCGTATATGATAGTTATGGAGGTAGGCGGTAGACAATCAAGTCGAACGATTACTTGGTAGTGAAGGAATGAATTGGGCTGGAGTTCATCATTACCTCGATTATTGTTATGTTACTTTGTTGACCCTCGACGATTTGGATTCCTCACAAGAAGTTCATATATAGAAGCCACAAACAGTCATAGAACACTGACGCAAGTTTGCAAGCTTTGTTCAGGTTTATTGAATTCTGTTAGGAAACGTGAAGATTTGGGAATTGCAATACATTTGATACCCTAAACCTAAGCCTTATGAATAACCCTTGAACTTTTGCTCCAGTACAGCATAACCTTCTTCAGTCCGCAATAATGTGTCGAATACGACGGGTTTCTCATTAAAGGGATGTCGAGTGTGGATTATTTGCCATAGAGTATTGCTTTAGTAAAGTCAAAACTATCACTTTAGTTAGTGCTGTGATTAGGCAATAGGAGAACTGGAAACCAACCTGTGTCACAATAATCTGAAGTTCAACTCCGTAGCCTAGGAAGTCGGCGGGAGCCCATATAACTTCCATATCCGTGGTGGCATCTGTAACATTTGCCAGTAGACCTTTCTGGTAGGCGCTGCCTCGCTCAAGATTTCTCGAGGTGACGTCGTTAACACTAAGATGGCTTTGCCGGAATTTCCAAGCATTGAGGGTAGCCTGGTTGTTTAATGCTTGAAATGCGCGTTTATTTCTGTGAATAATTGCTGGAGTGAATTTGGAGGTACATTTGCTCTTCGGAAGAAAAATGGAAGGGAGCTGAGGCTGCTTTTGACGGCGGATTTTCATAGGGACATCGATTGGGCCTTCATCCCTGGTTGATGGAGCCGGTTGGACAGCTTCTCCTGTCTGGGACAATAAAGAATGATCAGTGGACGAGGCGGGGGCATCCTCCTTGATTCCTCCGGAAGCAGAATTGGCCGACATTATGGCGAGTGATTGTGGTTGTGATTGGGAACTGTTCTGTGTATGGGGTCAGAGGTACGAAGTTCGTCAGTAATCGATTTTTTGGGTTGGGTGTAAGGTAATTTGATACGATTATCAAGGCATGGGATTGTGACTGGACTTACATGTTGCTTTGTGGAATGAGTTAAGTTACCGACTTATGTTTTCGAGTAGTATTGTTATCGTGCACTGCTGTTGCAATCTCGAGCGTTTCTTTTGATGGGAGACCAACGGTGAACGAATTGACGAGGATGGAGAGATTGATGGGAAGTGGAATTGTCAGAAGATAGGACGAACAGGTAGATGAAATGTAAGAGGAAGTTCGTTGGCTTGAAGTTATCAAGTCAACAGATGTCGGGAAATGGAAAAGCGATCAGGTACTCAGAGGCGTCAATAACCTTCAGTTGAAGATCTTGGATGTGACGAGAAGGAATAGCAAGATGCACTCGTGAAGGATTGTATTTGGAAGAGCTCAGTTTGATTGTTGGAAGTCTCTTGTTGACCTTGTCAAATTTCGATTTCGAGGTCAAAGGGGGACTTGATATAAGCATTTCCTGTGCTGTGATCCAATCGGATGATGTGGGGCAGGAGGTATGAGCTCGTTAGAGAATCTGCTCCAAGGAATGTCACCAGGAGAATTTCTTTGGTCTAAAGCTATGCTATATTCAATTTTAGGTAGAAAGATTCACCAAATTTTACCTAGTGGCTTGCTGTTAGACAGGTTGGTCTTGCTTGGATGCATGAGAGTATCTTTGTCTAGTTTCACATTTAAGTATGGGGAAATTGCTAGTGAGATTATTGGTTTGGATTGCCCTTGTAATGAGGGGGATATCAATACGCATTTATCAGTGACGTAATGACATGAAGCCGAGCCTATTGTATGTTGCTATGCTACCACATGTTATCAGCTACAGGTTCACGACTTCCAGTTCGATGCTCGAAAAGACCTACAAGCTAATGAAGAGCCCCTCAGCTTAATCTCTTTTCAAATCACTGGAAGTGCACGGATTCAATTCTTTCTGTTGAATAACTTGAATTGAGAATAATCACTAGTGTATTGAGTTGTAACTTGTAAGATTATCATATTGACTAATTTCACTTTCTCAAAAAGTGTTCAGTGATCTCCAATAACTTGCAACAAAGCATATCCATAAATTCACAGCTTCGAAGCACATGGCTATTTTCAAGGGCCGTCGCTTCGGGGGCTTCGCTTCGGGGGCTTCGCTTCGGGGCTTCGCTTCGGGGACTAATCACAATACAATAGTTGATTTCCCATTTCCCATGACAGCACAACCATGTTTGGAAAAGTGAATACTAGCTAGCATACTTGGGAATTCCTTTACTATTGGGTTCAAAGGATGTTTTTCTTGCAATCTGAAGATCGTTTTGTTGGTGCTTTTGATTGAAGTTCTGTGGCTGTAATCTTTTTGTTGTCACGGTATGGATATTACATATTAGTACCTACTTCTTGGTTTTGCTGATTCTTAATTCTGAGGCGCAGGTTTTGGGTTGAATTTTTATGAAGTGTATATGCGAGTATGTCCTCTCGTGCAGAATATTTTACCTTCGAGCAAGGGAGAATAGACCACTGATACTTATGATAACAAGGTGAGTGTGACAGATACGTCGCATTTAGCACATGCAAGAAGAACCATAAGATAATACTCGAGTACTTTCAGATCTGATTGTCACGTCGAGAGTCACAAAAATAATTGAGTACAAGCATTACGACACGAAAACATAGCTGACAGATATCATTGTATCAACCATAGGGAGAAATCGCTTTCTATTCCTCAACAAGACACCCAACTTTAACTCTAATCCCAATCCCGATCCTAACGCTGACCTAAAACTCTGCGAACACTGTAAACACTTATCCCTAACCCCAGATACCATCATACCACCCCAAACCTCCACCCCAAACCTCCCCACCAAAGCGTCCACCTATCTATGCCTCTCATTCTCCGCATAAGCTTTATTCCACGGCTTCTTATTCTTCGCCTTCTCCATCAGTGCCGTACGATCCAGAATCGTATCCCTATCATATCCACATACATTAGCCCCTCTCCCAATCCCCTCTTCCAACATGTAACACACAAACACAGTCACGGAATGGAATGGAATGGAATGGAATGCAAATACATACATAGAATTTTGTTCAACAAGTACATGTGGCTTTGTATACTGTGCATTGTATGAATGCAATTGGCTATCCATACTAGCCTTGATGCTATGATGAGGAGACGGTTTAAGCAATGCGTTGGCGCCGATGAGACCGCCGATTGCGACGACGGTCATAATGATTGCTTCGCGTTTGGCCATTGACATGGTATGTAAAATAGCTATTGGGTTGGATTGGGTTGGGTTATGAATGTGAGTAAGTAATATAGCGGTAAGTGTTCTCGAAATCTTGAAGTAAGTCTAATAGACTAATAAGGAGGACTTGGGGAAAATGAAATCTTTATCCGAGCAATATTGCTCAAGTAGTACAGTATATAACCCCCCCCCCCCTCTCCCCCATAATACACCCATCCAGAAATCTAGAATCCATAAAAAATATATCACTCAACCAAACCATAATAATTGGTGCAAAATTAATAACATTTCTGCATTTCTGACCCCAGTTGCACGGGTCGTACGATCGATGATAAAATCCGCCGATAAAATCACCCCACACAACATCTGAGCGGGCGCAATACCGAGGCAAGCGAATCATTCCGCTCTTTTGAACAGCATATATAATGGCACAACGAGGAGAGGATCTCCCCGAATTGTGTGATCGCTTGGATAAATGGTTGTTTATTGTTAATTCGGGATTTGGTGTCGTACGAGTGCTTTATATGGTGATCACGTAATGACTAATGAGCAAATGATTTCGGAGGGGCTATGAATGTTGGGTGATGGATAGAACTGCCAATGATGTTCCTTGAATTAGCAATCCTGTTGTATGTAGTAGTGTAAGATCCGTTTTGCATGTAGATAGTCTCGTTGAGAAGATATCCCAAGGGTTTGGCATTATCACAATGTGAGGAGTCTAAGAGGTGTATAAACTCAAGTTACCCAAAAATAAACCATAAATTTATCCACAAATGCATTCTCGTTCTATGCCTTGTCGTATATATTTTGCCATGTTCATCATACCAGTTGTTCTTGCATCCCTAAGCCAAAGCGGCAACAGCTACCTCATCCACTGCTTTAGGCTGTTGGATACCCATTTTATACAGAGGACCCTGCTTAAAACTCTCCACATCGTGCGTTGCTACAGCTGAAGCGGCAGATATGTTTATCTCTTTCTTTCCTCGCTCGAATACTTCATTATCGTAGGCAGATATGGCTTCTACAGCAGAGCTTGTTCCATTTCTGATCTTCTTGATGGCTTCGATGTAATTGGCGGCGTCTTGGATGGCATTGTTGAGACCTTGACCACGATCTAAAGAACCAAGTTTAGTGAAGGACAATAGTAATTTGTGGAAGAAGTAAAACTTACGAGGTGGCATTGGATGAGCCGCATCACCTGCAAGGGTTACACGACCTTGATGATTGTTCCATTGTACGGGTTCCTTCCACAGCATACAGAAGTCTACAGGGATCTAAAAGGTCACGATTAGTGATATATTCAAATGCAAGATAACATTCAGCTCTAGTGTGGTGTTCAACAGTTGCGCGCGGAAGAACGATTGGGAAATTCAAATGTAACTTACTTCAGTTCCCTTTAGCACCCATTTGAGCGCGCTTTTCCACGGATCCATCCATAGCTCCGCGTTGCTTTGTAAGAAATTCAATTTCTCCTCGTTGCTCATAGTAGTCACCCGTGCTCGATATTCTGGATCCTTCTCAAAAACACTCCACGATAGCTGAAATGTCCAAGTCTCGGGTTTATCCCTATTCGCAACATCTAAAATCGTCACCATGGCGAGAGTTCTAAGCTCTTGGTTGATACCAAAGTTCATGATAGGATGGAAAGCAGAAGTATCTTTAAGATAACGAGCCTGCTCAGCTGTAAAGTTCGTTTTAAAATTGTAAAACGTGTACGGCAGAAGTGTGAGGGCTGCTCTGTCCCCAATTAGATTGGTACGAAGTAAGGACTTTGCCCCATCTGCTCCTACAAGATGGGTTCCGCTTGTCGAGGTGCCATCCTCGAACGTAACCATGACAGTTGTATCCGAGGCTGTAAAGGAGGTGAGCCTCTTATTGTATTGTATATGAAGACCTTCGGAGAACAAGCTCCTCATTTTCCTTCTGTTTACACGTCGCATACCATCAGAGGGGAGGTCCAATAATACCTCTCCACTTTGCGCATTTTTAAATGACACAGGTGGCATGACGCCGTGTTCATCTTGATAGTAGGGATCGCATTCAATAGATCTTATCTTCGTGAGGATTTCATCCGGGAGACATGAATTGAGATGTTGTGAACCCCAATGTAAGGCCATCGACCAATTGCGATCACGGTTTGTTGCGTTGGCCGAGATTTCTCGCTCGAATATCTCGAAAGGTATGCCTGCTTTCTTGAGACCTTGAGCAATTAAGAGACCGGTAGTGCCTATTTGTGTCAGCTAAGTTAAGAGGATTAATCTGCTAGGGAAGCTACCGGCTCCGATGACCAACAATTTTATATCTGGACTCATACTTTGGATTACTTCGGCCACAAAAAAGGTTCGTTGGGTAGAATTGAATGTCCAAAAGCGACTGATGTGATAGAAATCTATTGTTCGAAGAATATAGAATAACAGGAGTAACCTGGATAGACAAGACGAGGTATATGATATATGACAGATTAGGGGCTTTATATTAGATACACTCGGTAAATTGAAATTATCTTATCTCCGCTGAAAGAGGGGGGCCGGGGGGGTACTCCAGAAAGTCCGCAACTCGGGTAAACCAGCACGTACCATATAATGGTAAACTACAAGGGAGTAACCTAAGTCCTTTTAGCTCCCAAGTTGCGGACTTTCTGGCAGCATGAGTATCTCCGGCAACAACATACAGAGGTTGCAGCGGTAAGTATTATCCCCTTAGTAAATGCTGAAAACCGCCGCCATAGTGGTCTGTGCAGGAATACCTTGAATGAAGAGACCTGATTGGTCAGAATCGGGGTTTGAACATTAAAAACAGCTTTTTTATAAAAAAAATTCTAAAAGTTTAATTCTGAATTCAATTTAGATTTAAGACTTTTTAAAAATTAATACAGAATAATAAATTATTATATATTGATTTTGTATAATTTTGAATATAATATTATTATTTAATTTAATAAAGAGAATAAAGAGTTCTTTTATTAAAATAATAATCTTATTGTTTTTTATAAAGAAATAAAGGAATTATAAAAATTTTCTTTTTCTATAATAAAACTTCACTATTTATTTATATAAATAGACTTTCTTTTTATTAATTAGTTTTTATATGTAAACTAATCTTTTGAAGTGTTTTTATTAAGAGATATTACTAGTAATTAAAACTCAATATTAAATATTGTCTTTTTGTTCTTTATTATTTTCTTTATAATATTTAAATTATCTAGGGTCACTTTCAATTAGTATAATAATATTATTGATTAAACCTTTATATATGAGATATAATTCGGCCGCTTTTTGGTGTGTCTTACAATACTTACCGCTGCAAACTCCGTACATGTTATATCCGCTACTACAGGCAGATTTGTACTTTTGCGGAATATTCCCAAGCACAGTCAGAATCATATAAAAAGCTATATGAGATATAATTCGGCCGCTTTTTGGTGTGTCTTACAATACTTACCGCTGCAAACTCCGTACGTGTTATATCCGCTACTACAGGCCCATCATGCATGCAAATAGCCGCACGAAAACAGCGAGCTCAAGGATTCTCGAACGTGTGGGTATAAAAATTGAGCGTGGTTTCTTTGAACAGCGAAGAATTCATGCAGTGTTACCGAAAGGATCTTCCGAAACGAAACCCCGGAATAATTTCAGATATTAATTGGCTCCTTGCCTAAGGTTCAAATTTATCCGGCTCCACTACTGAATGTACCTTGAGATCGAAAAAATGCAGACTCAAGACGTTCGGTCCTTACAGTAACCGACATGACTCCGTCTGAATCACTCATTAGATGGTCTTAGGGCTTCAAGCTCAACAGCAGCATTCTTTCGGCGATAGGCAGTCTAGGCCAAGCTCTCCAACTTGGATGATTAATCGGATACTGTCAAAAGTAACATCCCCTTCCTTCTGCCTCTCTAGATCTTGGTATCAAATCTTCATCTAAAGCCTGATTTTGTACCAAAAAATCAGAGTGGCCAATGAGTCAGTCAAGTCAGTCAGTCAGTTAGTCAGTCAGTCATCAGCGAACTTATTTATATCAACTGACTGACTAACGAAATCACCCCATCATTGCTGATTCATTGATATTCACTGATCAGCAACTGATCAATCAACACATGATTATTATATAGTATAAAATAATCCTTCAATACTCTTCTCTTACCCTACCACTCCTCTCCCTTCTCTCTCTCCCATCCATATTCTCTTTAACCTCATCATCCATCACCACCCCTCACCAACAACCTTTCTCTCTCTTCCCCCTTTCATTCCCACCACTATTCTTCTTTACACCGCTTTTCCTCCCAATCTATAATTCCCAATACAGCTTAATGAATCATATAACCCAACTATGCTTAGTAATATATACCCTGAATATTAGAGATCCTTTTTTCGCCAATAAAAATCATCAAAATCTATTATGTAATCCCCTCACAAACAGACCCCTTAATTGATACACTACTAATCAGCAAAAGTATATTCTCACCAACTGACTAATGTACGCTGGCCGCTGTCAGTCAGCGCTCTGGCTGATTGGCCACTCTGCAAACAATACCAAAAGTTAGTATGAAATCTTTTTGCCCTCAAATAAATCCCCAAAATCGTATACATAGCAAAAGGTCTCTCTAGCGAGAAGGGGCATATCGCTATTATCGATGGCAGAGCATTCTCATCTCTTTTCAAGAGAAGCAAGACACCAGCTAGTATCGTCACGTTGAAGAAAAAACCGCCATCTAGAGTGTGATTGATACATTGTAACTTTCAAAATACTGGAACAACGATGCCTATTATGGATGTATAGAACTAGAACTGAAGAGTAAATTTGCAAACACCGAGACAATAATTAACACAACAGCATTTTGGCCATTGTCTCATTTAATATCTATTAACTCGACCCAAACAGATCACTTGATCACCATAGAAAGTCCTTGTTTCACTGTCCAAGCTCAATTGGGGGTTGGGGTTGGTGTTGCACTGCGTATTACTTCGGTTCCCGTGATTGGCCTTGTTAGACATCTGCAAAAAGTCTCTAATTGTACCATTGTTGTATGATCTGATTGTGTTCCAAGCTATGCATATTGAGCCGTTTTCAAGCTAAGACTCGTAGTGTGGGCTCACCATGTCAAGTACCGTCGCTTGGCAAAGTCTCTTCGCTTCTCGGTTCCCCACTGAAGATACTGTTGGTTGCCTCATTTGTACCCTCATCCCCCGAATTTTCTGAATCGCTATCTGCCAATTCAATTTCAATCTTCTCCATGCGAATTATGAATTCTCGTCGCACCTTTTCAATCCAATCTAGCAATGTCTGATTCTCCATGGGGCTATCACGAAGCTGCTCAAGATGCTCTTTCAAGCCGTGGAGAAGTTTCCTTCTCTTGTTAATCGCCGAAGCCCTGGAAGACTTCTTCTTCGCAGCGGTTTGAGCAATGAGAGTCTTTGAAACTTTCTCGGCCACCACGACTACTTTTGAGGGTAGATCGACCACACGCGCTAGAGCAAGACCATAGTGCTGTTCTCTAACACAACCCTGACCAAGTTTATAGAGCATTGTCATGGTGTTGGGGTCGCTCATGTCAACCGACAAATGATAAACCTCAACGCCAGGGCGCTGAGACATGATTTGTGCTGTTTCATGTCAGCAAGCATGATCATCAGATGAAATTTAGATGTCAGCACACACCAAGCTCTTTAAAATGAGTGGCGAACCAGATTAGCGCTCGACTCTCTGCCAATGCTTCTGCAATGCTTAGAGCAATTGCTAGACCGTCCCTTGTACTAGTCCCACGACCAAGTTCATCAATAATAGCAAGACTTTTCTCATCGATGTTTCTATAGCAGCTGGTCAGTACAGCATGAGGCGTAGGAAAGAAATGGAAAGAACCTAAGTATGAATGCGGTTTCTCTCATTTCCGACGCGAAAGTAGAAACATTTGCTTCAATGCTATCATCCATCGACACCCGAGCAAAAAGTTGATGGATCATTGGAAAGGAAGCATAGCTTGCTGGTACAAAACAGCCAACTTGCGCCATCACACTCATAAGAGCGACACCTCGTATGTACGTACTCTTCCCGCTCATATTGCATCCGGTAATTACCTGAAAACGTGATTGTTGCGTTGCATAATAATCATTGGGAACGAATTTATGTGACGGTACCTAAGGGAGATGTATGTTAATATCATGTGCAATCGATATCTATCGAAGCATACGGACCCTGTCTCGAATTGGATGGCGGCCAGACTTGATAGCGATGCAATCAGTGATCTCCGGTCTGACATAGGAATCTTGACTCGTGACTAATTGCCCAAATGATGTGATCATATCGAGCATAGCGATACTCTCACAAACTTTGAAGAGGCTGGGAATTTTGCTTCGTAAATTTTCAAGGAGTTCTTGTATGGTTTTGTGGCTTCCCAAGATGACTTCTATGTGGGAGTCTTCGATTTTCTGGTTGAGTTTTACCAAATCTAAAGTCTGACATTCGATATACCCTTTTCTGCGAAACCGATTGATGAGTATATCCGGTATGTTTCGACCCTCAAATTCATTGTCGGAAAATCGAAGATAGTATCGTCGGAGATTATCGAATTTAGTCTCACCTTGCATTTCATAATTTTCTGCCACCAGTATAAGTAAGACGGCAAATACATCAGAAGAAGGTGAGAATACGATGAATTTCAGTCACATGCTGATGTACGTCTTCAGTCGCCTCTTTGAAAGTTTGACGTGCTACATCCAAGAAGCCACTAACCCCTGCTTTCACAGCATATGTTCGTTGATTTCGTAGATCTAGAGGAGTTTTCTGATATGTGACATCCTCATTTATGACTTCGTTAATAAGTTGCATTGTGGAGTCGATGACTTCAGTACGACAGTTATCACGTATCTGAATTAAAAGCTCTGATCGAGCACCCGACAGACTTTTCAAGACTGGACCGATAGATTGTGCAAATAATTTTAGCATTAAAATGTTGTTTATATCTTGCTCGGAGTTCCAGATGCCTGGGGCAGTTGGAATGATAATAAGCTACAAGATGTCAGGAGGCAGTATTGTAAAGAGATGGACTTCAGCACGTACGCAAGTAAGGAGTTTTTCAATGTCAAGAATCGACTTCAGAGCTGCGAAATAGTTAGCATATAACGGAGATAAAGAGGGACATTGGCTTGCGCGACAACACAAGAAGCGATCAAAGCACACAACAGTAGGGGCATTCGACCGACCTTGTCTAATCTGTAAGAACATGTCCTCATTTTCCGATATTTCGGCCAATGCATCGTAGCGAGCAGTTAGTAAAGTTGACCGAGTCAAAGGCTGCAGAATATTGCTCCGCAATAGCCGTGATCCCATGGGTGTTAACGTCTCGTTCATGAGTCCAAATAAACAATCTTTTGACTTGGCATTCTGCAGATTCTGTATCAGCTCAAGTGATTGAATGGTTGCAAGGTCTATCATCATGGAATCTTCCGAGGGCTGATATTTAACTCGAAGAGAATGAAATGCAAAAGTAAGGGATAAGCTCATATCAATGTATTTTAAAGCCTACGCATGTAGCATCTGTTAGAAGACGTCACAGAGTAAGAGGCTGCTGTCAACAACTTACCGCGGAAAAGCAGCACACAGAGAAGTAGTTACCCCCTATAGCGACCTTGATGGCCTCGAGATCTTCCTTGAACGCTAACTGTTGAATGTACTCGATACCAGACGTTTCGGACCAATAACGACGATCCACTGTGATGATCCTAGCTCCCAATATATTCTCTTCCACAATTTGGTACATCTTAGATTTAGGGTTTGGAGGTCCAGAAGTAGATACAATCAAGATCTGGGTAGGCTCGAAGACTTGTAGTTTATGGAGAGTTTTGGCGTAAAATTGATTGTCACAGATTTGACTGAGGACTGCTTCGCCAGTTGAGATATTGACAAATGCTAACCCAACAGTCGGAGATACTCCACGACCTTCACTGACAGCACAAATAATTTGCTGAGATTCTCCACCTCCAATAATAGAGCTTGCTCGTGACCTACGCCCAGTGCTTGGGCGAGTTGTACTGGGACGAGCAGTGCTTGAACGGCGACCATGAGGAGGCAAGGAATAGGAATTAGAGTTAGTATACCCATACTGATATGATGTAGAAGTAGTGCTGTAAGAAGTTGAGGGCCTCGAAATTGATGCCATCCCCACTAACGGATATATATCAAGTCTGCAGATGGAATAACAGGTTAATATCTAAAATGTTAGTTCATGTATCAAATCGACGAATTGTTTAATTGATGCGTTGCTCAAATGCAATCAATAAGTTAGACTCTCTCCCATCCAGTTGGTAGAATTCCATTGGCGGAAATGACATGAAGAAGATGATGAAGACTTGGTTCTCGTCTGATATATTTGAAGGAAAACAAGTTGATGAGGGGACGTTGAGCGAGATTGATGTGAATGCGGGAAATACGGGGCATGCACGGACCATCAAATATTGTAAGGCTGAAAAATAAATTTCTAACTTTGCAAAAGGCTAGGAATAATGAGAGTCGAATAAGTTTCCGATACTTTTCTGAACTCCCTTATCATCTGAAGTTTCCTTGTTTGTAGAGACACCGCTAGTTTCCGTTGAAGACTGTTCCTTATCATTATAATAATCTCCCGTAAAGGGTCATTCCTCCTTCATCATGTCGACTGTTCTTCCACCCCCAAGCAAGAGGCAGAGAACCGATGCTTCAGAGAGAGCAAGAGCACAGCAAGACATTGAGGAAATACCTAGTGACGCTGGAAGTCTCCGGTTACAATTCTACGACGAAACCACAGGCCTTCCCATTGGTAATGGCCCAGTTCTCGTACCCGTCGCAGATGCAGATCCCAAGAACTTGGAGCTGTTGCTCAATACTCTGCTGGGACATGTAAGTCTACGTCACAACAGAAACTCTGCGCATTTGGAAAGCTAATTCATGCTCAAGGACTCGTCCGAATATATCCCATATCGCTTTACCTTACCTGTGCCTGATAAAAAGTCTTCAGAGAAGATCACCACCGCATATCCAACAAATATCTATAAAACCTTAATAACACCAGGACTGATAAGTACGGAGGAGGTCCAGAATATTTCAGCAGCGCCACAAGCAGTATTCAAAGTTCAGGCAGTTTCGAGATGTGCTTCTACAATACCCGGCCATGGCGAAGCTATTCTAGCAACCCAATTTTCCCCAAGAACTTCCTCGAGAATGGTTAGTGGCAGTGGAGATAACACTGCGCGGATATGGGATTGTGATACAGGAACTCCGGTGCATACATTGAAAGGACACACAAGTTGGGTCTTGGCTGTTAGTTGGTCGCCTGATGAGTCGAGAATTGCAACGGGAAGTATGGATAACACTGTTAGAATGTGGGATCCTAAGACTGGAAAGCAATTAGGTAACCCCATGAAGGGCCATACAAAATGGGTTACAAGTCTAGCTTGGGAACCGTACCATGTTCAGAAAGCTGGAGAGCCTAGACTAGCTTCAGCCTCGAAAGATGCCACTGTCAGGGTATGGTCGACTAATCAGCAGAAAATCGAATTGGTTCTAAGTGGCCATAAGGGCTCAGTATCATGTGTCAAATGGGGAGGAACTGGATTCATATATACCGCATCTCACGACAAAACGGTCAAAGTATGGAATGCCAAAGATGGAACTCTTGCACACTCGCTCAGTGCTCATGCGCATTGGGTCAATCATCTCGCACTATCTACAGACTTTGTCATGCGGACCGCCTATTTCGACCACACTGGCAAGATCCCCGCAACCGAGGAAGAAAAGGTCAAAAAAGCCAACGAACGATTCCTCAAAGCGTCTCAAATCCAAGGTGAAATCGTGGAACGCCTCGTCTCTGCCAGCGACGACTTCACCATGTATCTCTGGGAACCTGCGAAGCAGACAAAGCCCGTCGCAAGAATGTTGGGCCATCAAAAACAAGTCAATCACGTCACATTCTCACCCGATGGTCTACTGATCGCATCATCTGGGTTTGACAACCATACCAAAATCTGGAACGCCCGCGATGGAAAATTCATAAATACTTTGAGAGGTCATGTAGCTCCTGTATACCAGTGTGCGTTCAGTCCCGATTCGAGACTATTAGTGACGGGTAGTAAAGATACCACGCTAAAAGTATGGGATATGAGAACGCACAAGTTAGCTGAAGGTATGTACAAATAACCCTCTTCAAATCAAAATGACACTAACATGATTATAGATCTACCGGGCCATAAAGATGAAGTGTATGCCGTAGACTGGAGTCCCGATGGACAAAAAGTTGGAAGTGGTGGAAAAGATAAAGCTGTCCGTATTTGGCGGCATTAGAAGATGCGCAAAGAATGAAAATCTTGTCAAATTGGCCATGGTTCCGCTGTTCTCAAAGTGACCGATTTCCACGAAACTTGTTCTCTCGCTGCGGCATTCATTCGATTTTTTAATGATTCTTCATCCCTGTCTCGGCCGACCTATCTACATGATTTATATCCCCGAACCCATGAATATACAAGAATCTCCATTTTCCATTCGGGTTATAACTTACTCCCTAACAAACAAACCCGCCATGCCCATACCAGTCCCAATACACATACTAACCACACCCACCCGTTCCTCTCTCCTCCCCAACTCCGCCAGTAACCCCGCCACCATTCGCGCCCCCGTAGCACCCAACGGATGACCCAACGCAATGGCCCCTCCCTTAGGATTAACATCGCCCTTCTCATACGCACTCATTAACCCTAATTCCCGCACACAATAAATCGCCTGACTAGCAAACGCCTCATTAATCTCCCACACATTCACCTCTTCCTTTAGAATCCCAGCCTGCTCCATCAACTTTGGAATCGCAAGCGCGGGCCCAATCCCCATCTCATCCGGTCTACAACCGGCTATGGCCGTACCAGACCATTTCCCAATAATCGAAGATGATAATCCTAGAGAAGTAGCAGTGCTACGACGCATCATCAGCGTAGCTGCGGCCCCATCGGAGATCTGCGATGAGTTGCCCGCTGTTGACATCCCATCTTCCTTGAACGCCGGTTTTAACTTCTGCATATTTTCCATCGTGACTCCCTTTCTGATCCCATCATCTTTCGTAACAGTCACTTCCCTAGGCTCCCCCACTTTCACTCCCCCGCGCCCCGTCTCCTGCCACATCGTAGTTACTGGTACGATTTCCGCATCAAACCATCCCTTATCCTGCGCCTCCGCCGCCCGCCGATGACTCTCCACCGCCAACGCATCTTGTTCTTCCCTGCTCACTCCATATCGACTCGCTACATTCTCACTCGTGATTCCCATCGGCATAATACAATCCCTCGTATCCTTCTCCGCATCCTTCAGCTCCGGCCATAAATCCACCGGAATAGCTTTCGAACCATAATTCCGCGACATACTTTCCATTCCCCCTCCAATTCCTATATTGATCCCGCCCATCGCAATCGAATTCGCAATATTGGTAATAGCCTGCAACCCCGAACTACACGCGCGGTTGGTAGTAGAGAAAGCAGTTCGTGTGTGATAGCCTGCATGGTTCATAGCCATGCGGCCGGCTTTGGAACCGCCGAGTTCGGATAAAACGACGCCGATGCATACATCGTCGATGAGGGAGGGGTCTAGAGAGGGATTGGCCGATAGGGTGGCTTTGAGAACGGTGTGGAGGAGTTGTTCGGGGTAGGCGGAGGAAAGTTGTCCTTTGTAGGAGCGGGTTATAGGGGTGCGGAGGGAAGAGAGAATCACGATGTCTGAGGGGTCTTTTTTGAGGATCTGGGAGAGCCCTCTGCGGAGAGGTCCAGTTGACATTTTGGCGGGCGGGATGAGGGGAGATTGGGTTGGAGGGGTAGCTGTTTGTTGTCAATTCGAACCGGGTCAAGTGTGGAACGTACCCTATTTAAATTAGGTATACACAATAACTAAAACTACTATAAAAGTAAAAGATGATAATTTAAATGAAGAAAAATCGCCAACTTACAATAAAACTTACCCATTGATTAATACCCAGTATGTTTCTGGGGAAGAGAACGTCGGCATCGAATATCGGGAAGATGTAAAGGGTGGAGAGGTGGAAATATGTCCCCGCCAATCATAGACGAGTAGACGGATAAGCACTTATCCGAGGGTTTCCTTCACAGTACACTCAGTTGGATATATACACAGAATATTTGATATTAGATAACATATCTCGAACAGCAGTCTGGACTATGAAAAATCACTGATTCTTACAAACAGGACTTCTGATAGAAAATCAAAAGCTACATTGGATGAGATTCATTCATAAGAACCCTGAATCCAAAGCACAAGTATCACATCCATTCCACACGTACGAGATAGAAGTGGCACATATATATTCCTCAAAAGAAACTACCAAGTCTCGTAATATCGAACAAATAAATACAAAATCCTTTCCAACAACGAATCTCTAATACACTCCAAGTGAGAAATAAACAGATTCCGAGAACTTCAAACCAGGGGCTCGTCTGACATTTCTGCACTACACTGCGCCACAGGGGGGGAACAACCACTATATCATGATGTCGTATTTTAGGATGGATATAACTCGAATATTTCAAAATATATTTCAGAATGTATTTTAAGATATCAAAGAAAAAAACTGTAATTGAAACGTGAACTCGGTGTGGTGGATCCTCCATCCCATGAATTGAATAATATTAGCATTAA